AGTATTGTCGCTTTTATTGAAATACATAATATACAACAATAATTAATAATATAATAATATAATATCCGTCTATCAAAGAATATAATCGAAATTATATTACCATAGAAACGCCCCTTGATTTTTAAGACTGAAAAAATTCAACAATATACAAACGGTATGGAAATTTGGAAAAGTATAAACGGGATTAACCATTTTAGAACAAGCAAAATTTTTTATGAAGAATACATTTTTCTCAAAATGTCAATAATAAAAAAGTTTTTCCACTTGTTTTTCCACAAATCCGGGGACATTCTGTAGAATTATATAGAATTATTTATGTAATGGAATTATATTATTATTATAATAATAAGAATAATTAAAATTATTCTGGTTTATGATAAATTATTCAGCTCTATTGGCAAAAAAAATACTGACTATGGAATTTTAGCGATCATATCAATTTTATTATCAATGAATTTATTAAAAAATCTTATTAAAATAGGTTACAACATAAGATACCTGTTTGTCTAGATGTTAATTTGTGATGTTTGCCCTTTTTTCCTATTTTATCACATATCAAAAATATTATAATATCAAAACCGTTCTATTTAACTAATTTTCTTTTTGTTAATATAATATATTAATAATTGTTAATATAATATATATATACAATTATTAATTAATATATTAAGCATACATTATTTTGCCTTTTTCCGCAGCATTTATGATTATGATAGTTTTTAGGTTTCGTTATAATAGGATTTAAAAAAACCTATCATTTTTGTTTATAGTTTTTCTGCAAATTAAAGAGTCGATAACTAAATAATTTATAACGTACTGAATTAACTAAATTTCAAACTGCAGGTACAATACAAATAATCAGAAATCGGCCTACGGAACATCGCGTCCGCCGTGTCGCCATATAAAATCAAAGTCTTGGGCGGCGAGGCCCGAATGGTCTCGCGCGCGGCCTATTTGTAAACTTAATTTAGGATAACAAGAAAAGTATTAGCATTAGAAAATTGTACCAAGTTTCAAAAACTTTTTCAATATTTTTACTTTATTTCATACGCAGATACTATGTAAAAATTCCTTCAAATAAAAAAGTTTCTCGCTTACCGAAAATCATGATACAATAAAGTTAATGTTTGAAGGTTAATCCATTTTCCAAAAAAAATACACTCACTATGGAATTTTAATTACCTCAGCTACCACCGCCTATGTGAATCGATTAAAAAAAAGAGTTTGTGAATAAGTTGATTAGTTTAGGAGTTATCGCGTAGGAAAGATAAAAAAACATGGTTATACATTTTTGACATTTTGCTAGTTAAAAAATTTCTGACACCCCCAAAAAGGTCGTAATTAGTTATTTCACATGCACAAAGGCCTAACTGATAATCCTGTATAGATATCATGTAGTTATACCTCCAAAAAAAAATTTTGACACATTTTGATATCGTTTTTACTCCACTGAAATAATATGGGAAATATTCAGATGTGATTTACACTGAATGCGTCCGACCAAAAATCAGGCGGTGGGGGATCGTGAACGGACCGCCTTCCACAGCACACCCGCTCTACCCGACCCCTGAGACCGACCCGAGCGGTGTAGCGCAAATGGACTCTTAAGTGCTGTACGGTGGAGACACCAATCGTTCTGCGGTCAACGCATAACACACTTATTTTCTCTAATTCAGTCAGCAAAGGCATATCGAAGACGGTGTGGATCTGAAAGCGACAGTGTTGCCATATTAAAATGTGTAATATCTGTAATGTTTGACGAAAATATATTTGGATGAAAAATCCGCGTTTATGTATTGAAAATTTTATCGCGTTAAACACAGAATAAACAACAAAAATAAACATTCTTTTATAGGTACTGAATTTGTAGTTTAGTTTAGTTGGCTTGGAAATGACGATTATTGACATTTACCATAATATTTTACACATGAAATAACAGCGATCTTCATTTCCAAGCCAACTCTGACGCCGTTCTTTGTTTAATCATATAATATTATATTAAATTGTTTAATGATAGAAAATCCGTATTATTAACGTACTGCACCCAAAATCCGTAAATCTACGGATTAATCAGTAGTTCTGGCAACACTGTCTCCGGCAACCACTCACTGAAAGCAGAACTACGGTACAGTTTTCTTTATCCGCTGCGCTGTAAACGACTATCAGCGCGCAGCAGCGCAGAGCTAAACTAAATCTCGCGATTCTCGGACAGACTGACGGTAACGCCAGCTACATCTCGGACAGGTTTTGTAACACGAAATCGCCCCTAAGATTGCGCATCTTCTTCTTTCTTCAGTCAACGATATTATGCTTTTAGGACTTATATTAACAACGCTCTTCTTTTTAAAACAGAGGTAGGGTAGGATTGATTGACGTATTCAATTTTTTTGGTCACTTCCTGTTTCATCGGAAATGACTGCAACTTTAGATTTTTAAATGGCACCCTCCTTATTTTTTACTTTATTCAATAGAAAATGACACTCTGAATAGATTGACTGAGATTGACATATCATATGTCAACTTTTGACATTTTCGAATATGGTTTATTTGAAATTGCGATACTTAGATTTATAATTTATATAATACACAAACAAATTATAATGAAGATATTAGCAGGTTATTAGGTTTTGTTAAAGGAACCTGAAAAAATCTAAGTTCTAATTGGTTAACATTAGTCTTCACTTTTTGTGAGATTCTATGCACAGTCCGTAAATTGATATTGAACGCATTATGTGTTTTCAAACTTCTACACACTGTATCTCGGAAACTAAGCATTTTTGGACATATATTTATAAGAACATTTTTAGTTTATTTTATCTGCAGAATATGCTGCCGAAGTTTCCGGAATACAGTTCGGACCACCCTGTATAATACCTCATAGGTAAATAAACAATAAAGACTGTGAATTTAAAAAAGAACCAAAATAACTAGAAAAGAAAAGTCTTTTAAGAGTTTAATATTTAAAAATGTCTTTAAAGTTGACGGTGTAGAAGGTGCAAGACATATTTTATTTTTATCTAAGATTAAGTTCGTTTTGTTTTTCTATTCCTTCAATAATAACCACTTAATCTCCTCAATAAGCCACAACATGCCTATAATGTTCAATAAATTATACTGACGACATTCTATTTAAAGTTCATTAAGGTTTGATCTATAAATAGATCAATAAAAATCTTTAACCCAAGAGAAACAGTATCAATTGACATGTCAAGGACTTGTAATTTCAATTAATGCTGTGACGAATTGCGTTACAGCGTATTTTATTAAAATATTGAATCAGAATTCTGTTTAGTTTTTGTTGCTTTAGATTATTAGATAAATATCAGGTTAGGTGTGGCCATCTATGATTTAAAAAGTTTAGTATTTTAGTTCAGTTGTAAGATGTGCTCTCACCTATGGAATGTGCTCTCACCTACGGAAATGGTCAATTATTAGGTAAAATATAGGAGGTACCGCAAAAAGTTGAATACAAAAGATATAGGATTTTTAAATATCTATTTGCGAGTAATAAATTGAAGTATACAGGGTCGGTCATAAAGTCGTGGCACATAAAAGTTTCATTTTTTAAATAGAACCCCCTCTATATTACTGCATATTTCAATTCTTCCTTCAATTCTAAGAAAAAATCGAAATACACACAATGTACCTCAAACCAACAGTTTCCGAGTTATTGACTTTTGAAAATATCACTTAAACAATATGATTTATGATGTGATTTAATTAATTTCGATATGCATTCCCTGTATACTTCAATTTATTGCGCTAATAGACACTTAAAAACCCTATAATTTTTGTGTTTAACTTTTTGCGGTACCTTGTATATTTTACCTAATAATCGACCGTTTCCATACATAACAGCGACCCTGTATATTTGGATTAGTCAAGCATCCTAACAAAAACTCTAACAAAAAAAAATAAAGTATTTTAAGTTAACGTCCCCTTTTTAGTGCTTAGGCTAATCTGGACGGGGACTACTTTGCTTACGCAGAATCCGAACCGCAGTCCTCGGCCATATCATGGTCAAGGTGCTACCGAGTGTCTAAATCGGTCAAATCACCGGAAATAACTACAACTTTTGATTTTTAAACGACACCCTCGGTATTCTTTTACTTTATTCGATAGAAAATGACCCTTTCAATAAAATGACATACATATGTCAACTTTTGACATTTTCGCATATGGTTTATTTGAAATTATAACATGCGGTTCATAACAACAATTAGACTTCAAATACCAAGTGTGTGGTAACAAATTATTCTTAAAAAAATACTTTTTCCAAATATGCTAATGAGCCACCCTTGTTCCATTTGAAAAAATTGAGATATGATTAAAAATATGATTGGGCCATTTTTTAACCGGCCAGGACAAGACACGAAAAACATTAGACAACCAAATCTATTTTTCCAAGACGCCTTGGTTAAATATTAGTGTTTTTAATATAGCCATGGCACTCTAGATTGAAATTTAACTTTGTTGACATATGATATGTCATTCTATTCACAGTGTCAATTTTCTATCGAATAAAATAAAAATTTACCAAGGGTGTCATTTCAAAACCAAAAGTTGTAGTTATTTCCAGTGAAACAGGAAGTGACCAAAAACAATTGAATACATCAAATACAATCAATCCTAATTTATGTCATATACTAACCTACCAAATCTCGTTTTTTCTGAAAAATTAAAAATATATAGGGGTGACGTATAATAGTTTATAATAATATAGTTATAACAGTCTCGGGGTCTACTTATAGTAAGACTTCTGTTTTTATAAAAGCTATCCTATTCCTGATTTTTTTCACTTATTAATTCATACCCTGTACATCAATAAATATAAACTGAACCCCCAAGATACTAAATAAAAAAATGATCAAATTAAAATTTCTTAAAATTAAAAAAATTATCATGTATGGGAGATAATAAAAGATAAAAAATAAAAGACTTAATAAAAAGAAATAATGCGTTTGAAATTAAAACAAATCTGTTAAAAATATATTTCTTACCACTGTGAATGAATAAATGCCTCTTCAATGAAACTTTCTGTGTAAAAACTTTCTGACATACATGACATAGCCACTCTTGCCTGTGATTTACCGCTGTCGATACATAAGTGTCATCATGCATTATTAAATGTTTTTCATATTTAAATCTAGTTTTAAAACTCTGACCACACATCTCACATAGTATGTCCTTAGCTACTTTAGATTTCCTAGTACTCTTATGTTTAGATAACTCAATTTTAATCAAGGACTGCACCTGCAAAGAAAGATGAACACCAAATGTTTCAAATGTAAGATTTGCTTTTTACCATACCTTTTCAAAAGCATCCTTATCATCGTCAGCATCATTATCATCATCATCATCAGAATTCTCAATTACTCTATTTTGTCTCTTACCAGTCGATGATTTTTTTGAGGGTACTCTTTTTATTTTTATAGGCAATTTGTTTAGATTGACCCCTTCCAATACAAATTCTGGCTCACTTTTTAGAGAGCAATTATCTAAATTATCATCATCTACATCTTCCTCCTTGATGTCTAGTGATGTAGGTTGAGATAATTTTTCTACCTGTGCTACATAACTTTTCAATTTGTCAAAAAGTTCCTTTTCTCTTACTTGAATAGTATCAAGTTCATTTAGCAAATCGTAGCAATTATGGCATATATTACAATGAGTCAAAAATACATTTTTATATATTTCTTCGACGAACTTAATCAACAAAATATTCGACTTCTCAGAGTTTGTAGTTTTTAGATTGTACTGAATATTTGAAATGTGTTCACTGCACAGAACACAATATGACCGCTGCAGATACATTTTCAATGTTTTGTTACACAAATTTATAAGAACATGTAATTATAAAATCCTACAATTTCGAAAAGCGTGCACCTTTAAAACCAATGTTATAAAAACCTTGTTGCATTTCCAGTAAATAGACATCCAATAGACATCAATAAATAAAAATAAGTAAAAGTTAGGTATCTCAAAAATGGACAAATTGTTGATTTGATTTGTATTATTTAATTTATAGCATGACAATCATGGCATTAAAACTCAGTGTTGCCAGTAGTATATAATTGATTTTTTTAACAATTCAAGGAAATCATATATAAAATAGTTCTTTTATATAACCATAGATCATATATATTTCATATGATATTCAAAGGTAGGCAGTTTTGTATATGATTGTTACATTTTTGGTTCTAAAATAGGCAACGCTGTAAAAGGAATTGACATTTGACATCAATTGACATTTGGATTTAAAAAATCCAGAAAATAATAGGAAAATTAATTTCTAATCATAGTTTCTAATTTCTAATAGTTTCAAATAGTTTCGGCCTTTACCAACCTAGTTTTTATCTGGTAATTAATTTATTAACCAATTTAATTATTCGCGTGCATTAATATTTTTTAGTCAAATAATTACAATGTGGGGCGATACGCTGTTGATCGTATTTATTTCTATATGCACAGCCCTTTTAGGAGAAGGACTTACCTGGTTAATGGTATATAGAACTGAAAGATATCAAAAATTAAAAGCAGAAGTAGAGAAGCAAAGTAAAAGATGTAAGTACTAATAATTAAAGAAGAAATCAAAGTGACAATATAACAATCCTTTTTTCCCTTAGTGGAAAAACGGAAAGAAACACACGGAGATACTTTGGACAAGCAGCAAAAGAAAAAAATCGAGCGAGAAGAGGATAGATTAAAACAGAACAATCGAGATTTGTCTTTTGTAAAAATGAAATCAATGTTTGCCATTGGTTTTGCTTTCACCGCTTTATTAAGCATGTTCAATAACATGTAATAAAACTTCAATTATGTAATATTTTAAACTTGATAAGAGATTTTGATTTTTAGATTTGATGGTAGGGTGGTTGCAAGGTTACCGTTCCTTCCTTTAACCTGGATTCAGGGATTAAGCCACAGAAATTTACCTGGCGATGACTATTACGATTGCTCTTTTATTTTCCTGTATATTCTATGTACAATGTCCATCAGACAAAATATTCAGAAGCTTTTAGGATTTGCTCCATCAAGAGCTGCATCTAAACAAGGAAACAGTTTATTTGGACCTGCACCTGGCCAATTTAAATAAAAAAAAACTACAAATATTTATGTTCAGTTTCATTTTTTGTTAAAATATACATTAAAACACATCACACAGTTTTGTTAAAAACTATTTATTCATTGCATTGACTTATTCTTTCTCATTAAACAAAATTGTTGGATCTGAAAAAACGTGAACCGACTCATCGTAAACATTTTCTTCCAGGTTTTCGTCATCATTAACATCAAAAAACGTGGGAATTGGCAACGGATTTGTAGGTTTTCTAAGATGCAATTTGGTGTCAAAAACATAAACTATAGAATTTGTTTCTCCTGGTATAGCTTGACCCAACACCCATATAACATTGTATTTATTATTAATTCTCAATATTTTAAGGCCTCTGGCTACTCGGAATCTGTTCCCCATATGGCCTGGCATTTTAGTTCCCGGCCAAACTCTACCTTTTTGGCCCCCTCCACCTATATTACCACCACGCCTATGGGTTTTTGTTACACCATGTGATGCTGGCATCCCTTTAAAACCATGACGTTTCATTACTCCTTGAAATCCCCGATCCATTCTATAAAAATTATTTATTAATTTTATAAATCACATATATGTATAAAACAAGGAATTTAGTACGTTTTTCCTCGAACATCTACATAGTTGCCAACTTGGAAATGTCGAGCTGTTATAATTGTTCCAAGAGGTAAAGCTGCTTCTGGACTGACAAAAAACCTGCCTAACCATTTCGTTGGTAAAACTCCAGAGTCACTAAACAGCCCACAATATTCTTTGGTAAATGTCGATGGATCTGTGGTTTCTGCCCCTATTAACACACAACCCTTTCTATTATCTACCTTGTTCCTTAGTTCTAATGGAGATTTATAACTTTCGGGCGTATAGTATTTTACAACATGATTATCTAAAACCTGTTATTATACTTTAGGGACAATGTATCAAATTAGTGTTAGAGAATTACTTGAAGTAAAGTAGTTGAAACTTTCTTTCCGCTTTTCAACCACAAAGGATAAATACCAATTTTTCTAGCAATAACTCCAGATCTCTGCAAATTCGGAACCCAAGTAACATTATCTGTTACAATTTCCTTGGCAGCAGCATTGCTTACAGCAATTTTATCCTGAACAATTTCTCTAAGAAACTCTCTATTTTCAAGAGTTATGGCATCATCAGCATGCTAAAAATATGAAATGTTGGTTATATAGATAACATATTTTACTAATAATATTGTTACAGTTCTTGCTTTCTCGTTAACCAACTTGGATTGCGTAAGCGAGGTCTTGGATTTAAGTGCTTTTCCCTTTTGGAATTCAATGAAGCTAAGCTGCAAAAAACATAAACTTGTAATATGATATAGTTCTAGAATAAATTAATATTTAAAAAAAATTATGAACAGACCTCAAGCCTTGAAATTGTTTTTCTAATAGTCGAATTGAAACACATGCTCTACTTTTTGCACTAAACGCTAAAGCCATTTTTAGGAATTAAAAATGTTTAAATATACTTTCTTCTATTTAAACCTTATTTAAATAGTTTTAACATAGTTTAATTATAACATTTCTCTTTAATAAATCGAGGTTTGACTTTGATAATAGAAAAATAGGTTATGTACGTCACAGAATTCATATATTGCCGTTATGATTGCCGTGATTGCCGTTCATTTGGCCGACCTAATTTATATACGATAAGTTTTTTCAAATAAAAAATAAAAATCATATATAAATATGTATAATTAAATATTTTTTTATATAATTGGCAAAATTGGGTTGTTAATAATTGGCGACAATGATTGTTACTGTTATTTTTTTTGAAGGGGTGGGGGTCTGTCTTAGACAAGGAAAGAGAGGGGACAGGTAACACGGCAGCTAAAAGTGAGGCAAATTGTCACCACGCGAAATTCTCCAATGGCGTAGTATCAGAAATTAGCTTGTACCTAGACGGTACAAAATATTTAGTAAAACGTAAACTAATATATCTTCATTTTTAAGTAATGCATGTACAATTTTGTATTTTATAGTCTCACCTTTATAGTATTAGAATATCTAAGTCGATAATGCAAAATTTATTTAACAGTCACAGTGGACTGATTATCAAGACAATTATTTGTTATTAACGTGTGTATAATGTATAATTAAATAAAAAATAATGTAATAACATATATTTTAAACGTGTATATACATATATACTGTATGATAAAAAAAAACGGCGTCTTGTTTGTTTGGAAATGACAATTTCACAAATGAATATTAAAAATTACATTATTCATTGAATATTGAATCCGTAAGCAAGTGTGAAGAGAATTGGCTAGATTCATTATTATACCGTATAATCGAAAAAAACGACGTCCAGTTGGCTTGTAAATTACGATCGATGACATTCCCCATATAATTCTACATATAAAATGACACAAAAACTATACAAAAAGACATCGAAAAAAGACGGCGTCAGCGATGGCTATGAAATAAAGATCGCTGTCATTTTATATGTAAAATTATATGGGGAATGTCGTCGATCGTCATTTACAAGCCAACTGGACGTCGTTTTTTTTTTGACCATACGGTATAATAATGAATCTAGCCATTAAGCCGGAGTCTCATGCATCCGAAATCCGATGACACGACGATCCGACGGTGCTCCTATTGGTCGAAATATTTTGACAACAATCTTTATCCGATAATTTTAACTAATCATCCGACGTCGTATAAAGTTAAATTTTGTTTAACTTTTGTACGATATCGTGTGTTTTTTAACCTCACTTTTTTGAAAACATTTGTTTTTAAAAACAAGTTTAGTGGGAAGTGGGCAATTTCGGGATATTTGGCGAGGAAGTTATTTTTATAAGTGTTTCTCCAATAAAACATGACATGAATCTCTATTCAGCGCAGCAGAAAAATGTTAAAACTGTCAAATTTCGGAACGAACTTTCGGATGTATGTGACAGGCTTTTTTTATTTCACACGATAACTTCAAATTTCGGATGTCGTACCATCGGATTTCGGATGCATGAGACTCCGGCTTTACTCTTCACACTTGCGTACGGATTCAATGAATATTGTAATTTTTAATATTTGTTACCTTCAATCATAAGAATACCCTATTTTTAAGAATATCCGAATTTATTCACACAAAAATAAAACAATTCTAGAAGCTTTGTGTTATTTTATTTATTTTTAAATTTTTATTAATTACTCACTGAAACTATTATTATACACTTAAATTAGTAAATTTTTTGAAAGAATATTTAAAAAAATATATGTATGTAGTAACAAGTAGCCCACCACAAGTTTGTCCACCCCCAACAAATCTTGGCAGGTAAATTTAAGTTTTATATAACTATACATATAGATTTTTTATCACTAGAATTTTTCATTTTTTATAGTTTACAATTATTTTACATATTTGATAACAATACTTTATACATTTTTTTACATGTAAAATATATAAAAAAATGTTTATTGCAGAAATTGTATTTCTCTGATTATAATTCCCTACGTCACTGGTGAAATCCGGTCTCTGTAGCAATATTTATAGTTTCAAACATTAATTATAATACAGGATATTGAAAATACTACTTGGAATTTTTAAAAATAGTTTGGTTTGGATGTGGTACAAGACATATTAAAAGCATTTTACATATTTTTACTGCTATAATGAAAAAAATGTACATTTTATGACCACATAACAAAAGTTGTGTATCGATTTTTACCTGTGAAATGTAATTCCAGCCACTTTTTTCTCGCTTCGGCCTTTGCAGCCATACTCTGAACATCTCACCATACTAAATACCACAGTTTAAAAATTTAAAACAAAACAGTTGTCATAAAAAACATAAAAATTCACTCGGTGTCAACTCGAAATCTTGTCACCAAAGTATGGCCGCCGATCGAATTTTTTTACCATCCGATCACGGGAGAATATGCGTGTTACCAGTCCCCTCTCTTTCCTTGTCTAAGGGGTCTGTAGTCTGTAGGGATTTTTATATATTTCTGTTGGATCTATTGACTGATCATAGGAAGTAATTTTAATCTATGGTTTCATACTTTTTTCTGTTTTCTGTGGGTAGATTTAATTATAGTGTGCAAATTTATTTTTTTTTATTTTTTATAATGTGCAAATGAAAAGTTGTACACTAGATTTGCAAATTATTATAATATGCATTTAAGCGAGGATTTGTTTACAATTCTGTACGAATAAAAGGGCAAGGGAAATTTAGGAAAACCAGAGAGGAAAACCGTAGAAAAACAAGTAAGCCATGGAAATTGAAAAAAGTGGAAGATGTTGCAGCGAAAAACTGTAGTGCATACTGTAGTGTTTCAAATATGGAGATTATAAATAAATACAGTTTAAGTAATAGCTGTAATTTGGTTAACTAGTTCAGAGAATAAGTTCTTGTTGATAGATTTAGTGTTATACTATTTATTCATAAAAAGTTCCCTATTTAAGTAAATACCAGAGCTCTTAAATTTAGCTTTATAGAAAATATGCCTCCAAAAAGGAAAAAGACCCCAGCAGTAGTAGTTGGTACTGTTTCAACAAGATCAACTCGTAGGGAAAGTATAGTTAATATTGAGATACCAAAAACAAATAAATCAAAGACATCTATAAAAAAATCCAAAAATGTCATCAAAACACCAGAAAGGAAGAAATTAAGCAGCCCCGATCGTAAAAAGGCAAGTCCAGAAATTCTGGAAATTTTAAAGGATTGGTCAGATGAAGAAACTAACGATGAGAAAATTATCTCGCTTAAACAAACAGAAAAAAATACAGCAGCAAAAATATCTAATGTTTTAAGTGGTGACCATCAATCTCTAATTGATATTTTAGAAGGAAACCAGACAGACACTGTTGCACCTATTTTAACTGATAACAAACCAATTATTGAAGAAGATAGTGAATTAGTGAACAGCCAAATTCTGAATGTAGAAAGTCCAAGTGAAACAGAAGTGATTGAAGAGTGTGTTGTTGAAGATGATGGCATTATTTTAGAATTATCAGTAGATCAAATTAAAACTGATACTAAGAAAGAAATTATAGGTTTTTCGGAAGAATGTTCGGCTGATGCAGAAAATAAAATTGAATACATTTTTACAGATGATGAAAATAAATCCATGTCATCTGAAGATACATCTCAAAGCATGGTAACAGTAAAGGATGATGACATTATTCTGGAATTATCAGAAACACACATTCCAAAAGAAACTATAAGTTCAGAGGAATATTCAGCTGATGCAGATTCAGAATCACAAAAGTCAGAAAGTAGAATTGAATATATTTTTACAGATGATGAAAATAAATCCGTATCATCTAACAGTGTAACTGTGAAGAATGAAGACATTATTTTGGAATTATCAGAAGATCAAATAAAAACAGGCAAGCCAAAAGAAACAAGTTTTTCAGAGCAATGTTCACCTAATACTGATTCAGCATCCCAAAAGTCAGAAAATAGAATTGAATACTTTTTTACCGAGGATGAAAATAAATCTTCATCTGAAGATACATCCCAAAGCATGGTAACAGTGAAGGATGATGGCATCATATTAGAATTAGCAAATCAAATTAAAGCTGACACTCCAAAGGAAACGATTATTGTTTCAGAAGAATGTTCAACTGATGCAGATTTAAAATCACAGAAGTCAGAAAATAAGATTGAATATGTTTCGTTAAATTACTCTGATCTGAATAATGTGGAAGAAAGTGTTACTTCATTTGTTACTGGGACAGATGACGAAAATAACTCCATATCATCTAAAGGTGTAACAGTGAAGGATGATCTCTCTGATAGAATTGTTCCAGATAACTCCATTAATAATTTTGAAATTGCAGCAGAACAAGTAGTTTATGATGGTGTTGAAGTTGACGAATACAAAATCCCAACTAAAGAATTTGTTGAATCTAGTTTACCTTCTACAAGTGCAAGTCCTAATCTTGATAGTATCAGTAATGTTGCTGAAGATGAGTATGAGAAAAATGGTGATGTTATTGAAAAATCTAATGGATTTTCACAGATTGTTTCAAATAAGCATATAGATAATGAGACTATGTTGATAGAAAGTGACGAGAAGACTCCTTCAGAAATATCACATCAAGCTGGTGACAGTTCCAGAAGCAATGATGAAACTATAGAGTCGTCAGCTTCAGGAACACCTCCTAGTCAAATAAAATCAAATGAAAAAGAACTTTTTGAAAATACTTGTGTTTCGACAGATGAAAATGCAAGCCATTTAATAGTGGCATCTAAAGATGAATGTGAAACTTTAGAGAGTATTCTTTGTGACAGAGTGACTGAGTCGATGAAAATAAGTAACAAAGATGCAACTAGCAAAATCCCTGACCTCGTATCAGAAAAATTAGGTGACACAATGGCAAAAATGCATATTCAAGAAGATAAAGATTCAAGAAATCAGAATAGTGCACTTATTAAGGATTGTGATTTATCAAAAGAAAGAGAAATTAAAGAATCAGAAAATGATCTGTCACCAAGCAAGAATGATACATTAAAAACGACCCTTAAAGGTAAATATAATAAGAGAAGCTCAGAGAAACCAACGAGAAAGAGTACAAGAAATAAATCTTTGAATAATTTAGATACAAATGAGGGTTCTCTGCAGTCAAAAGCGGCTATAGCACCAAACAAAGATAACACAAATGTGACTTCAGAAAACACAGAAAGGAAGAAAAGTGATGTTGCAGAGCATACCTTGAAAGATATTTCATTGTTTGGTTCACTGGAATATGACATAACAAAAGAAATGGAAGGTGATCCTAATAAAAAAACGACTAAAGGTGGAAAAGGGAAGGCAAAAAGAAATTCAAGAAAAAGTAAAGATGCAGACAGTCAGGGATCAAGTCCAATGGAGGTTGTAGAATCAAATCAAGCAGTAGAAAAATCAACTAATGATACAAATAAATCAAAAAAAGTTAGAAGTCCTACTTCTAACAGTAGCGACATGGACACTGACGCACCAATAGATAACTCAGAAAATGCTTCAATAGCTGAAACTGAAAATTCTCTTGAAATAAGTCTACAAAAAGCATCCTCCAAGTCACAAAAGAAAACTCCAAAGAAACCAGCCCTACCAAAAGAAGTTAAAACCAAAGACCAGAAAAAGAAAAATTCCAAACAGAAAAAAGATCGAAAATCTGATGCTTCTGAAGAAGTGCGCCGGTCGGACAGGATTAAAACTATAATACCGATTAAGAAAAGATCTCGTGGTTTGGTGAGGTCAAAATCGGAATCTACATTGTTTGATCCTGATACCTCTGATACCAGTTCGGTTCAGAGCGAATTCGAGAAATGCACGCCGAATTCTTCTCCTCAGATCGTTAAAAAAGACAAATACAAATCTAAATCTAAGTCTGTTGAAAATGTGTCTGTATCTAGATCATCTTCTCCACATACAGAAAGTTTTCCTCAAATGCCCAAAGCGGATGGCGTTAAAACTGATAAATCGGGTCAAGAGGAGATAGCGGCGCGTTTAAAAACTTTTGCACATTTAAAAGAGAACCAGTATAAAACAGACAGACAGATTTGCAAAGAGGCGCAAGAAATGGCTTGTGATTGTTACCTAGCTGAAGAAGATATCCAAAAGAACGAGTTTGGGTGTGGAGAAGATTGCTTGAACAGGCTTTTGCTCATTGAATGCGGACTTCTATGCCAAGTCGGGGATAGGTGTACTAACAAGCGCTTCCAGAAAGGCCAGTTTGCGCCGGTTGAGGTATTTAAAACTGAGAAAAAGGGTCTAGGACTTAGAGCCGCTGCTAACATACCTTATGGCGAATTTATCTTGGAATATATAGGAGAAGTTTTAGATCCACATGAGTTTGACAAAAGGGCTGAAGTCTACTCCAAAGATAAAAATATTCATTTTTACTTTATGTCTCTACGGTCTGACGCAATTATTGACGCAACTATGAGAGGTATAAATGCTTAATAGGGTATTTTGATGAATATTACATAATTTTTTGGTGGATTTTTAGGCAATATATCAAGATTTATTAACCATTCCTGCGATCCTAATGCTGAGACCCAGAAATGGACGGTGAACGGTGAGCTGCGTATCGGATTTTTTAGTACCAGAACGATTTTGGCGGGCGAAGAAATCACTTTCGATTATAGATTTCAGAGATATGGGTAAGTAAAAAGGTTACTGCTGATTTGGTTATTTTTTGTAAGGTTTTAAACTATAGTCTTAACTTATAAGAGAATAAAATTAGAGACGATTAAGCTTGATTTTCATGCTAACCGTTATCCGTTGATACGATGGTTCGACGGCACTCTGATTGGTCATAGAGGCTTCGCGCCACTTTTCATCCATAAATTTTTATTCCAGCCCGTCAACTGAGAAAGATAGTACGATTACGGATGTTTTGACACTTTTTGACAAATTGAATATAATTACAGTTTGATGAATGAATATAATTACAGTTAAATTACAATTGAATATAATTACAAATTGAATATAACCTTAATAAAAATATATTAGTACAAGAGCTAGCACCGTCGGGAAAACGAGAATTTTAAGAAAGCTGGTTCTTTAATATATCTTTTGCTATGCTCTCCTGTGCTTTGCTGACCAAAGTGCGGGCCGCCTGGCTACCAGTAGACTACTGCGGTTTACTACTGCGCATTACATCTTTACAGGGTATTCCATTTTCGCGTGTTTTATGGGATTTCTCGTTTATGAGTAGAGATACAATGATGGGATTTTCACATTGCTTTGTTACTTTTTTATGAAACTAAATATGCTATACATAGGTTTGTCTAAGCCTCCTTAGTTCCTGAAATACAGGGCGAATTTGTAATGCGCACTAGTAAACAGCTGTTGAATACAGATTGATGCGCAGTCGTGAACGCAACGTCTACCGGCAGTCAGACGGACTGCACCATAGAGAAATATAAAATAAAAGAGTTGTCATTTCCATAGTCAAAAGTAGGCAACACGTTTAACGAGGATCGATTGTAGCGCACCCTTGAGCCCTAACTGAACTAATGGAAATGACAGACGTAATCGGTAAAATAGGTATTTGTATTACCTACCACAAAAAGGCGGGCAGTTTAAATGTGAATCTAAAATTTTATGTATTTTTAAAAATATTACGAAATCAAAACTGCAAAAAATGTAATAAAAAATTATTTTTAAAAACGGAATATTAAAAAGTATAAACTATTTAGGGCTGTAACGAGCCCTGTTTTTTAACTTGACCGAGTACCGAGTACTCGGCTAAAGATAAAGGCCGAGTAGTGGAATTGTCGGGTTTTTAATAGTCTTAACAGTTATGCGATCTTTATCAATATATACTAATTATACTGTACACAATAACATAATAATATTATATTTTATACATAATATAAATATAAATATATAATTTAACATTAAAGAAAGCTAGTTAAAATTCCCGGAATTCCTCGGCCTTAAACCAATGACCTTGGTTGTTTTGCCTATGATTGGCGAGCGGCTGGGATTCCCCGACTACAAACCAATGGCCTGGTTTGTTTTGCTTATGGAGATATTGTTTTGTTCTGAAGTGCAAGCGACATCTGTGCAAGAGAAGCAAAACCTCCCAAAAAAGTTAGAAAAGGAATCTAAAAATTTCAGATTATTCAAACGTCACTCCAATATTTTTCCAAATTGGAGTGAAATTGGGGTGACAATTTTTAACACGTAAGGAGCCATCTGGATTATGTGTTATCTGTGATAATACCCTTTAAAGTTATATTAAAATGAGTGATAGTGCTGACCTCTTTTAGATTATAAGTATTAAATTATTATTTCACTGTGTTTGTGTTATTACTTATACTTATTATTACTTTTCTAAAATAAATTAATTTATTTTATTATTTGCCACTGTCTCATTTCTTTCTGTTTTGAACATGCATAAATAGATTGTTTCTATTACTATACTTTGCTCGGCCTACCCGGCCGAGTAAGGCCGAGCACCGAGTACATATTACTCGGTTAAAATTCTGGCCAGCACTGAACTACTCGGTACTCGGTGCAGCCCTAAAACTATTGTTCACGTTTCAAATGCTTACAGTTAAATGCTAAATTAATTTTGCTAATATAAAACATATATACTGAATTAACATCGAGGGGTAAACCCCTGATGAATTTCTGTACACTAATGCCAAAGTAATGCCAAATAATTTAGTACTAATACCAATAATACCACGAAAATGCCAAAAATGCCAACATCTTGTACACCAAAATACACCAGCGGTTTACCCCTCGATTAACCTATAGTATTATAAAACGTATTTAACAACGGCACTTACAAAGCATATAAGATCGCAGGGTTTGCAATCTATGCTATTATAACAGATTAAGATTTAAATAAGACATCATCAAAAATTAATTCACCTTTAAGTTGGATTTATAAACTCAGCAGTTGAAGTTCAGTTGAGATAGCAAATGTTCAACACTGTGAAATAAAGGCGCGAATTTATAGTCAGTTCGTTTTACGTTCACGGAGTTTGGAGATGGGCAATGTGTTTACATATCGAACTTCCTTTGCATGACACCCTTTCCTGGATCGTGTTCAAATAACATCATCGGCTGAACAAAATATTACATGATGACGGCAAAACACAGCACAAAACATAAAGTTCAAATCATAGAGAAATATAAGGTCTCTTGTAACTTCTTCCGTAATTTCTGTACGCACAAACACAAAACAAACAAACAAAGTATATGCTACACAAAATAATAACAAAATTCCAAAATTCAAAACAAAATTGTAAACAATTGTAAAATACAAATAATTTGCTGTCATGTCACTTGTCAGTCTTGTCATGACACGTGACAGGTAGCAGGTGGCGACGCTTTGGAGCCCTAACTGAACTATGCAACATTATGGCCAAGTTAGACAACCTTTCAAACACTCTTTTATTTTAGTTACTTTATGGACTGCACTCTGTTCAGGAGAGCATAGAAAAAAATATATTAAAGAACTAGCTTTCTTAAAGTTCTCTTTCGAAAACATTGCTAGCTCTTAGACTATAAGTAGAACAGCGAAATCGTTATGGAAATGAAAATATAAAATGACTCCAATCACAGGCAAATCGTATATCCTATGAACGGAGGCATGAAAAAAAGTAAAAAAATACCCTAATACTTTGTATTGCCTCCCTTGGCTGCTATAACTGCCTGTATACGTCGTTCATACTGTCAATGGGGCTGCATATACCATATTGCGTTATGCTTTCCCATTCTTCTTAAAGAACCAAGCGAAGTTCATTTAATGAAGGTGGTACCGCTGTGCGACCTCTATCCCTTCTGCCAAGCATTTCCCAAAGGTCGAACATGATGAGCCCCAGTTCATAATATATAATATATAGTTCACAGTAATCACCAAAGCCGCCTTGTTATATTGAAAAATAACCTCAAAAAGAAATGATAATTGAAAAAATTGCAAATTGTTGGTGGCAAGTTCATTTCGCTCTTTATATTAATAAAACCAAGGCATGTATTGACATGATCCAAAAAACAAAATGCTCAGGAGACATGGTTCTGACCGTAAAATTATATTTTAATAAAATTTTTAAACACGAAATTATTGCACAGTTTCTTTTAAAGTTAAGGTAAAAAACAACTTTTCGATTAACCCTGTATAATATGCCAAATACTAAAGTTTATAAAAAACTGAGTTTACGAATTAAGGTTGATATAATTATATACAGCTTGATAAAAAAATCATGAAAATAGGGCTAAAAATAACAAAAATATAACACTTTAAATTTGACCAAATATTTGTCCGTTGCGTTTTTTTGCATCTGAGTGTATATAATTTTTACATGTAGCAAAGAAGCTCAGAAATGTTACTGCGAAGCTGCCACTTGTCGCGGATGGCTCGGAGAACGACCGGTCGAGTCCGAAGACGAGGAGGAAGAAGAGGAGGAGGAAGACCTCCCCAAACCTCCCTCCGCCGTGGAAGTCAAACCGACCCCTGTAGCGGGCGAAATCGAAACAACCGACGAGTTAGCGGTGGAGAAACCTGCAGAGGTAGATATCAAGACTGAAGATCTTCCGGAAGATGCCAAGAAAGAGGAGGTTTCTGTCGATCTTCTACCTACGCCAAAGAAAATCGTTAGAAAGAAGGCTAGAAAAGAAGTTTTGTACGAAGATTTCGATGTAAGTATTCTGTGTTTGTTAGGGTGGGTGCACCAGTGCTTCAAGCTTCTAAACTAAGAGAGAGAGAGAGAGAGAGAGAGAGAGAGAGAGAGAGAGAGAGAGAGAGAGAGAGAGAGAGAACTGCAAAATAAGACATTAAAATAACACTAAATCACCACAATACACCAAAACACTTTTACTTTTACACTGGACGCGCGTTTCGCTAACCCTGTGAGAATCATCAGCAGATGATTATAAACTTCAACAGTTTGATTATAAACTTCAACAGTTTATAATCATCTGCTGATGATGCTAACATGGTTAGCGAAACGCGCGTCCAGTGTAAAAGTAAAAGTGTTTTGGTGTATTGTGGTGATTTAGTGTTTTTATTTTGCTGTGTAACACCAAAGGTTCCAACCCTCAACTGTAATGAGAGAGAGAACTGTTCTAATTTACCATATTTTTAAAAAATACGCTTTTTTCTTTTTAATATTTCAAATATTTATTATAGATTTTCGTCAGCATAATGTTTCGCCTTTCATTTTTTCGGGCTTTTTTTAAGAGTATAATAACTGTAGTAATGGTGTGAAACCAAACACTACAAATATACAGGGTTCTGTAACTGTGCATAGGTCCATTAAATAAGAAATTTTGTTTAATTCTATATCTAAAGTATGTACCCTGGCCTATTTCAGGACAATACTAAGTTCTACAGGGTAGGCCAAAAACGTGTGAGTGGATCGGGATGGTATATTTAAATAGATTAGATTATTGCATTTTAGCTGCCTTCTTTTTTCTTGCGGACTACTTTACGTAGTCCTAAGATATTATTAAATTTGTTTTTATAATTTCATAGATATAAATAAAAAAATATATATTTTTCAGGTTTTTTTAAAAGAAATTAATGAAATCAAAAGTATACTAGGTATTTACTATATTTGGTCTGTACTAACTTTGCTATAAATATCGTAATATTAAATCATACCGGGTGTTGAAAATTCTACGCCAAACCTTTATAAAATATAAAGTATTTTTCTTCGTATTTTCAAATGGAACACCCTGTGTATTATTTCTTTGTTAGATGGAGACTTAAAATGTGAACCTTTTTGTATTTAAGGTATTTCAACATTTTGAACGGTTTCGCAGATATTCGCGGTATTATATTACATATGACTTTTTCAACAGTAAATTTTTATCAAACCTAATGGTTGTGTCTAGTTGAATATATAATAATATTGTGAATATTTGCAAAACCGTTAAGAATTTTATATACTTTAAATACAAAATATGTTTATCATTTAATTCCCCATCCAACAAAAAATAATATACAGGCTGTTTCATTTAAAAAGAAGAAGAAACATTATTTTATACTTTAAAAAATTTGGAATGGAATTTTAAACTCCCTGTACAATTTAGGATCACGATATTTCTAATAAAATAAGTACAGACTGACTATAGCAAGTACCTAGTATATTTTTTAACAATTTTTTTTAAAATGAAAACAAAAAATAAATTAAACCAAAATTTCTAAGGTCTTTTTTATAGAACCTACATGCTCGACGCACTGTTGCAGACTCTGTATATACCATGCAGTGTAGAGTATTTTAGTATACATACTTTTGAAAAGGACAAACTGCTAGAAAGCTCATATATCAAAAACTACTCGGTATACCGGATGTTTCTCAAAAGTGGCTCACCCCTGTAATTTTTTTAATTTTTTTCTGTTAAAAAAACGAAATTTGGTATGTTAGTATATGGTAAGAATCGGGATTGATTGACATATTCAATTAGGTTTGGTCAATATCAGAATAACTAAATATCATTCTATTCAGTATGCCATTTTTGTCAAATAAATTAAAAAATACTGTATTATTTTGATTTTTATCATTTAAAAATCAAAAGTTGTAGTAATTTTCGATGAAACAGGAAGTGAACGAAACTAATAGAATACGTCAATCATTCCTCATTTATAACATATACTAACATACCAATTCTTGTTTTTTATCTCAAAAAGTAAAAATGTTAAAATGGTGAACCACTTTTGAGAAACGCCCAGTATACCACATATCTACCGAAAGATAAATATTATATTTAAGTGTGAAAATCGCAAACCAAAAACTGATATATTGTTTACAACTCTGTGTCACCCTGTATAACAATAACAATATAATCTCAATATCTCATCACCAATCTTTTAATTACAGCAACTAATCGAAGACATCGAAATGTTGGTAACGACCGGCTTGAAAAACCAAGCCCACACATTGAAGCTAAGCAGATTGATGGTGAGAGCCAAAGACCTAGAACAGCGCAAGAAACTACTGCGCGTATTGCGAAGAGGAGAACTACCGTGCCGTCGCCTCTTTTTGGATTACCACGGATTAAGATTCATGCATGGTTATATGATCGACGCCCAGCAACAAACCTGCCCCGATCCTTCGGCCCTGTTGCAGACCAAACTGGAGCTATTGCAAACGTTGGCAGTGTTGCCAATTCAAAATAAGACGATGCTGATCGAGAGTAAGGTGCTGCCCGCCGTGGAGAAATGGTCGAAGAACGAAGATCTGATAGAGGAGGGTGGGAGTAACGATGTGGTTATGAAGGAGAAACAAGAAGGGAAAGTTGAGGGTATGGATCCTTTGGTTGCGGAGAAGATCGAGGAGATCAAGTTTCTGGCTAGTAAACTTCTAGAAGAATGGTAAGATTTAATTTTAAAGTAAATTTTTAATGTTGATTGGCTTGTTCTTTTCATTAATATTTAAGTAAGTATTCCACTTCATATAATTTGAAGTACAAAGATGTGGAATAGTGATGATATCTGCTATTGATTTCAGTGTAAACTTTTCGTCAGTTTATAAATAGTAAAAACGATTTTTTTATTATTTGTTTTGCACCATTTTTTATTTTTTCCTTAAATGACACTGGAAAGTTGCCAGTAACCAGTAAATTATGTTTTAATATTTGTTTATATAATTTGCTATAATTCGTCAGTCATGGAATAAAAGTACTATAGAAGGAGGTTAATACCGTATGATCAAAAAAACGGCGTCCAGTTGGCTTGGAAATGACGATCGATGACATTTTTTTCCATATCATTTTACATATCAAATGACAGCGATCTTCATTTCATAGCCATCGCTGACGCCGTTTTGATTAATTATTTCCTGTTTCACTGGAAATGATTTGAAACTTTCGATTTTTAAATGGCTCTCTCGGTACAAAAAGTACCGATTCAGAGTGTCATTTTAAATAAAAATATTTTATTTCATAGAAAATGACACTCTGAATATAATGACATATCATATGGCAACTTTAACATTTTCGCTTATAAAATAATATTTTAAATTTCAATCTAAAGTTAAAAACATTAATTTTTAATCAAGGAGCCTTGGAAAAATATATTTGATCGTCTAATGTTTTTCGTGTCTTGATCTGGTCAGTTAAAAGATGCCCAAATCGTATTTTTAATCATATCTCAGTTTTTTCAAACGGAACAAGGGTGGCTCAGTAGCATACTTGGAAAAAGCATTTTTTGCGAATAATTTGGTACGACACACTTGGTATTTCGAATCAAATTGTCGTTATGAATCGCATGTTACAATTTCAAATAAACCACATGCGGAAATGTCAAAATAGTCATAGTCATATGATATGTCATTCTAGAGTGTCAGTTGCTGTCCTCCATTCGCCAACTCCGAGTTCTGGGCTTTACGCCCTGAAGCTACTCGAGAACGGTTCTGAAAGGAGCTGTGCGCGATAGCCTGGTGCCTCCATATGGCGCGGAACAGTTCTGGAACTTTATGACTCAGTTGAATGGAGTGAGAGTATCGCGTTCTTGAACAGTTCAGAGCTGCAAAACTGTGTGAATGGAGGACAGCAATTTTCGATCGAATAAAGTAAAAAAATACCGAGGTTATCATTTAAAAAACTTGAAAATCATGAAAAGTTATAGTCATTTCCGATGAAACAGGAAGCAACCAAAAACAATTGAATACGTCAATCAGTCCTAATTTATTTCATATACTAACATACCAAATCTCGTTTTTTATCTGAAAAAATAAAAAAAGTTATAGGAGCCACTTTTGAGACGCACCACTTTCTCGTTCAAAATATTCTATTAAAGTTGCAATGATTTTTTTGCAGCGGCTGTTAAGCTGCTTCGGCATCTTTGATACTTCTCATTAAAAGCGGTTCTAAAAAGAACAATTTTCCACTGCACAATCTGCTAGTAACAAATTTTAAACTTCGGTTTGTCTGAGACAATGATTGTATTTCTTACAAGGGAATGTTTTTTAAACACAATTTTTTATTTTTAGGAGAAATTTAAAGGAGAGTTTCCGCATACCGAAGAAGCAAAGGATTGAGCAAATGAAGGAGCACGAAAAAGAAGCAAACAGGAAATTTATGGCTAGTACTTACGCCCAAGAGCAAGAAACGTCCAGGAAAACTGACCAGCAGCGGTACCGTTCGTGGTCTCGTTACAAAATCGAAAGAGAAACCACCAAGAAAGGCTCTAAGTAAGTCCGTTTAGTTTATAGGTTTGGTGCATTCTCCGCTGGTGCTGCCACCATTGGAGAATATCATAAATAACTAATATTGAGAACGGGTTTTAATAGCGAGTATACGAAACATATATTATTTAATTATTCTAAAAGTGTTAAAAATTTGTGAAAATTCTCAAAATAAAAATAAAAAAGTAAATATTTTGATATCTTCAGAAGGTCTAACTTGTATTATAATTTATTATTCCAGTTAAAGAAAACTTTTTAGATTAGTTCAACACGGTAGCGAGCATAGTTTTCACCGGTTTTGCTAGTGGGGCATAATTGGGGCTATTTCGGCTATAACGAAATTTTTTAAAGGTACATAATTATTATTTTAGAAGAGGTTCATAAACATTTAATCACTAGTTGATTAAAAAAAGCATATCATTATATTTTATTCTCTCATAGTTAATTTTTTGATTATGTAACGAGCACTTTGTTTACTCACTTGTTTCGTCGAACTGCTTGAATCAATTTTTGCTTTTGATCAAATCGATGTGAGAAACTATGAAGCTATAAAATGTTGTTTCGGGAGAGTTGAATATCCGGGAAAGTTGAGTTATTGAATGTTATTGCCCCCAACAACGCCCTAATTACGCTCTCCTTTACGCGTTAAAATTTTTTCGGCAATTTTATTAACATTTGAAATTGTTACAACACGACGCCTAGTTCGAATTCTTTTTCACTTATTTTTACTATGCAAAACAGCGTTAAACCACACAAACCTCGTACCTGAGTGTTTTATAGTCTCAATAACTGCACTAGAAAAAACCTAAAATACTTAAATATTATGACAAAACGACGATTTCAATATTATTTTAATGCGATCAACATGACCGCGCGGCGGCGTGAAATACATTCTGATAATTTTTGATTTCTGCCGTTGAAGCGCTGCGGTCTGAATTTGTTGAAATCAACTGAAATGCACCAAGCCTATATTAATTTTTATGAATAATACAAAATAATTCTGAGCTTATTAAATATATTATGGGAGTGGCAGCTGCCATTTTAATTCGAAAGATTATTTTTATATTCAAGTATTCACAGATATCTAATATTTTTCTACAGATATGACGATAAAGATAAACCGTCGGCGGCATTTTTGAAGATCAGCAAACACGAGAGGCGCAAACTGTTCGCTCTTCAGATGGAACTGAAGGAAGAAGAGAGACGGATGAAGCAAAGGGAGATGTGGAGACAGCACGAACTAAATTGTATGATGATAGGAGCGGATCCTAGGTTCACGGCCCCCTTCGATCCGAGCAAAGGGTTCCAGTACATTTGGAACCCTTCCATCGGTCAGTGGCAAGCCTTACCTGTGCCCAGCATACAGAATCAGGGAGTTTTTAACTCGCCAGTTACATCTCAAGGTAATTACTTTGAATTTTAGGCCCATTTTCATATTTTTAAATCTATAATAGCTATTTTTTCATAAGCAACAGTTGAAATCATTGAATAAAAAAACTAAGGAAGGATCATAGATAAATGAAACAAGTTTAGATTGGAAAGTGCCCATAAGGAAAATATAAACACTATTTGGCACAATTCTTGCAACGGTCACGACCCAAAGCTTTTGATGATTTGATAATCGGTTCGACTTTTTCCGGAAATATGTCGCCAAATATTGTTTATTCAAATTTATTATTTTTTTCTTTTAATTTTATAAATAAAATACAGTGTGTTCCGTACAAGAAACTTTATTTTATATAAGGACACGTATGTGAAATACCTATGAAACATTGGAAACCGACGTTATGCCACGATCCACGATGGTTTTTCCAGTTCATAGTTCACAACACAGTTTTTTAGTTTTTAATGCCACTTTTTCACAATTATTACGGGTTTGAGTAAGTAAAATTTAAATTAAACTCACAAGATAGCAATAATTACTTTGAGAATGGACGCTTAAACACTTTTCGGTATTTTTTCAATGAGGGCGGTTTAAATTTTGAAAGATTTTATAATTTTTGAAGATTCTGACTTTGACAAGAGAAAATTATTTCTGTTATTGTTCGGCTGTTGTTGTTAGGAACCGCTATAGCAGCGCCAGATCGCGTACAGCGGTCGCGATCCAAAACAATTATATATTTTGACGGGCTTTCCAATCTAAATTTATTTCCTTTATCTATGGGAAGGAGAATGTTATAGAAATGTCTTCAAAATTGTCAGTTTTGTCTGACGTTTCTCTAATATACAGGGCGAGTCTTAAATAAGTGCAAATATTTTAGGGGTAGTATGTTTCAACCCCAGAAATACGATTATGATGTTTATTTTCAGAAAAGATCCAGTGGTTCTCAAAATTTAAGCAAAAAATATATTTTTTTGAAATCTTCAAAGTAAAATAACTCGGTTATTTTGGACTTATTTGAAAAACTGCAAAGAGAAAATATGTTTCTTTTATCGAGATCTACCAGCCCTGAAAAAATCCCAATCATATATTATTCTTTGGGAAAATTATGATGTTTTATGTTGAAACTTTGGCATAAAAACACTTCAAATTTATTATTTCATTCTATGATGACATGTATTAATTATTGCGATTCCAAATATCTTACATTACGAGTAGGAGCTTTTGCCAAGAGACATTTTTTACGTGAAAACGTCGGAAATATGTATTTTTTACTCAGTTCTTTTAAACAGGTACGGGCGAAAATTTATTACTCTTCAAGCCAGTTAAAAAAATATGTAGGTGGCACCTCCTACGAGTAGGAGTCATATTGATATCGAAATCAAATTTACCATGTCAAAAAAAAACCAGATAACAATTTTCATCCCTTTATCGACGTTAGTTCATACATTATTTGGAAAAAAATCGAAATAAAAATGAACTTCTACACCCTGTATCTCCAAAACTAGTTTTTTTGGAACATACATTATTTATAAGAACTTTTTTACTTATTTTTATCTGCAGAATTTCTTGCAGAAGTTTCCCGAATAGAATTCGGACCACCCTGTATATTATTTGTTTATTATAATTATTGGTTGTATGCAATGTATATAAATCCGGAAAGACATTGCGTCGAAACTTGAATTACAGTGAAATTATTGTGAATCCAAAAGACGCTTCAAAAGTTGCAATAAATAATAGGTGTTTTAAATGTCCTATTAGGTGTTGAGGGATTTCCATGGAATTTGATTTGAATTTTTGCTTAGTTAAAAAATTGTTTTTATGTAAAGTGTATAAATATGGAAAGATATTGTGTCGGGATTTGAATTATAGTGACATTATTGTGAATCTTAAAAAAAGCTTCAATAGTTGCAATAAATAATAAGAATTTTAAATCTTTTTTTAGGTGTTGGGGGATTTACTGTACCTTCGTCGCTTCCATCTCACAAATCTAGTTATATGAATCCGTATCAACCTCCAAATCTAAACGTCGCAGGATTGTCAGGATCTACACAGCAGTATCCCAGTAAGATTCATAATTTTAGTATAATTGACTGAATCTATAATATTCATAGTTTAATTAGACCTATTTATTTTCCTAATTTGTAAAATAAAATTCAGATTTTTATTTTTCCATTTCTATCAGTTTTGCTATTATATGTTTACTAAATTTATATTAAACTATACTTAAAAGTTATTTTTTTTTAATTTATTTCTAATGATCTGTTCTTACAGCTATACAGTCAAACATTACTACTTTGGTACCCGGATTGCCGGGTTCTATTCCAGTTCCAGGCCTTACAAGTTCTGTACCTGGTATAACCCAACCTCCTGTAAGTATTTATACTTATATTTTTCTCAAATTAATCTTTGCGATTTTTAAAAAAAAATATAATTTTATTTTGGGTTTTGTCAACAACTTTTCTCCATTTTTTTTCTTAAAAACCTAATTCAAAGAATTGCAAACATTTAAAAATAATAGTTATTTACAGTACAAGTGTGAACATGATTACAACACAGAACATGTATGAACATGATTACAACGAGTGTGAACGATTAGACGAGGTCGTAGACCGAGTCGTTCTAATCACACGAGTGTTGTAATCATGTTTAAACGCACGTGTCATGTACAACGTTTTATCTACAACCGAAAAATAAGAAAATGCTGTTTTAATTGTCGTTTAATGCGTTTATTAGTCGCCCACCTTTAACACCATTAACTATGACATTTGTCACATTTATGCTGAAAAGTCAGTTTGCCCTGTGAAGTAAACGCGAGCACTTTTTGCCCAGAAAAATCATTTTAAAAATTACGATGAGCGATTCCGAAAGTCTCCCTTCAGATGTAGAACTTGCCGCAGTACGTGCCACGGAATCATTATTGCGGGAAAAGTTAATATATTTAGATATTCGTAGTTGTTTTTCATTATTATAGCAACTAGTTGTGTTATAGATTCATAACACCACTAGTTGTGTTATGAAATTGATGATTTCTCTCACGACGCCTTCTAAATTTTTATTTTATTGTCGAAAAAAATAACAAACCATTGTAAACCCTTAATATTTACAATAAACTTTGCCCCAACGACGATTCATTTCCCATTTAAATTACATGGGAATTTGCCATTTTTTGCAAATATTTTTTTTCTCTCGATCTTGTTCTCTCACAGCCATGACAATCACTTATTCTTGTACAAAATTGGACGCTCTACAAAAAAGGTCTCTTACAGTCTTTCGATAAACCTGCTCCTTCAAAAGTTATTCACGGTTAAAATTAACTACTCGGTAAATTCCTAAATTCTTCAACTTTTTTGACAAAATTATGATTATTTTTGAAAAATTTAATCTATTACTGTAAAAATATATAATTCTGATGGTGTTAAAACATTGATTATTTCTGCAGTTAGACAGTACGGAATAGTTAAAAGATCCTGGATATATGAGAGTCTTAGAAATTGTGAAAAATTTGAGAGTAGCTAATGATACTGCAGAAAGAGCTGTTAAATTGCCAGAAGAATACGCCGGCTAGAATGTTCTTAATTCTTAAGACAAGTAGGAGAAGTATAACGGCATTTCCTTAAGGTCTTAAGATTAATTTATTAGGGTTAATGTTAAAGAATAAAGTTAGGATAACATTTGAAGTTATGTTAACCTACCATTCAACGTTAAAATCCTGACTACGGGATTGGTCCCGTCTATGTTGCTATAAAGGCTTTTTGTTATCTAGTTACCATCGTTACCACCGATGTATCAAGAAGTCAAAGAAGAAGATCCGTCTCAAGTGAAATTTGCAGGTCCTATACCGCCACCAGCCAAACTCCCGCCAAAGTGGAAATGTGCCAAGGATAAGTATGGAAGACCTTACTACTATCACATAAAAATCAGAAAGAGCCAATGGGAACCACCTCCATTACCCGAACCCGTCGAAGAATGTAAGTAGTTCAAATGTATTTTGTGTTTTTAACATTATTAGGAGGTTATGTAACCGTAAAACATTGCAAGAAAACATTAATTCTAGTTGGTAGGAACTTTTTGGCATTAAAGTTTATAAATAACTCACAATTAATTTGAGAATTTTTTTAATAATTAAAAAAAATTTCAAGTTAATTGTGCGGTATTTATAAACTTTCATGCCAAAAAGTTCCATACGAAAAAACTGGCTTGGAAATCGAGATCATTGTCATTTTGTACTTAAGATTATAATATGTCAACTTGACGTCGTTTTTTTTTCATCACGAAAATTAGTCATTGTTAATATCGTCTTCTTACACATCTTATAGTTATAGAGGTATTCCATAAAAAAAACACTTGTTAGTACTGTTTGAAATAAAGTAGTTCAAATGTACCATGTTTATTAAATTAATAAAAAAGAGAATATATTATATATTATAGAAATATATTAGTTAATATCTATTTATTATTTCAACATAATGTATTAATACGAGAATTTGCTCAATTTTAGTATAGGCTTGGTGCATTCTCCGCCGGTGCTGCCACTGTCGGAGAATATCGTAAATAACCGGCATTTACAAATACATACACGGATTTAAATAGCGAATATACAAAAAATTTAACAACCAAGTAATTACGCCCTCTTTTATGTATGTTTTTGTACATTTTTTCGACAATTTTATTAAAATTTGAAATTGTCACAACACAAAACGCCGCCCAGTTCGAGTTACTTTATTTTTACTACCCGAAACAGCGTTACATCACACAAACCTCGTACCTGAGTGTTTTGTCGTTTCAATAACTGTATTCTTAAAAACTAAAATACTTAAATATTATGACAGAGCCACGATTTTAATACTATTTCAATGCGATCAGCATCGGAACTGCCTGAAAAACAGTGCGAAAACTTCTAATTTCTGCCGTATCGAGCGCTGCGGTCGGAATTTTTAAAATCAACTTAAATGCACCAATCTTATAGATAATACAGGGTGTATTTTATATTTTAGCTTCTGAGTCATCCAGTTCTGATACGAGCAGTTTGAGCTCGTCAGATTCTAGTTCGGACTCTGATACCGAAGATGAAATCGACGATGCCAAATTACTAATGGAGGTGCGCAAACAAATGGACAAAATTCCGCGAGGTAGTGTGAAATCGGTCATACCCGATCGTCTCAAGCGAGAGGGCAAGGATTCTGCTACTCCAAGTCCAGAAATAAAGGTTAGTAAACTTACTTACTTACTGCCATTACTCGCTGACGAGTATTTGACACGCATCAGAAGATGGTTACGCAAGGCGTTTCCTGTCATGAGCTTTTCTGTGACTGAAAACCCCGATACGTGATGTTATCTCTCTTCCGCACTCCGGACATTCAAAAATCTCATTACTGTGTTGCCTCTTTACTTTTTGGTTGTCATTATTAACTGAATTTACAATTCTCCTCCATTGCGTTCTATTGCGCGCTGCTTCCTCCCACTGTTGCTGCATACTTATCCCCTTTAAGTTTTCATGAAAAACATCCTTGTATCTTTTGAGTTGTCCACCCGGTTTCCTCTTACCCTCTACAAGTTCACCCTAAAGAAGAGATTTCGGTATGCGGTTTTCTTGCATCCTGCATACGTGGCCAGCCCATCTTAAACGAGATTTAGTAATCATGACTTCAGCGCTCTCGCAACTTGCTTTTTCAAGGACTGATACGTTTGAGACATGGTGGTACCATTTGATTCTTAACAGTTGTCTAAGGTGTCTCTGTTGCAACTTGTTTAATGCGCTCGTGTGCCGGCGGTACGGCACCCAGGTTTCGCTTCCATATAACATGGTGGGGAGTATTACTGCTCGATACACTGCAAGTTTCGTTTTTGTGCTCAAGTCATGATTGTAGAAAACCCTGTCTTTTAATGCTCTTGAGGCGCTGCTGATTCTGTGCTGAATTTCAGAGTCGATATTTGCCTTTTCCGAGATCAAACTGCCGAGGTAATTAAATTCCGATACATATTCCAATAGTTCTTCTCCGATTTTTATAGCGCTGTTATGATTTTCCGGGGGAGTGCACATGATTTTAGTTTTATCGTGTTCAGCATTTCCTGTAATTACTGTAACGTATTTGCAACTAGAGCACAGTCATCAGCGTATTGGAGTTCTGTGATAAATTTTGTACGTGTTTTTGCCCTGAGTCTTTTTATGTTGAACAGACCGCCGTCATACCTGTATCTAACACCCATTCCTCTTTCCTGTAGTTTGCTGTCCACTATAATAGAGAGCGCTGTCATGAATATGTTGAATAGGAGAGGAGCTAGGACACATCCCTGCCTAACTCCTGTATTTGTCAGGAAGGGATCACTCAGTGATCCATGATGTGACACTCTCGACTTGTTGTTATGGAGGCTTTTACACACAGTAAAAAACTTGTTGGGCACTCCGAACTTTTGCATAATTGCCCAAAGTACATCTCTGTTTACAACATATGTTTTGCAACAATGCAACATAGAGTTTACTCTGCTGTTCCTTTACTTTTTCCTGTAGTTGGCGGACGGAGAATATGGAATCAACGGTACCGCGGTTGGTGCGAAAGCCCGTTTGCGATTCTGGGAGGATTTTTTCTATATGTGGGTGAAGGCGGTTTGACATAATTTTTGCGAGAACTTTTCCTCCGATAACCAGTAGTGAAATTCCTCAGTAGTTTCCGCAATCTGATGCACTTCCTTTGTTCTTAAATATTTTAACTATATTCGCGTTGCGAAAGTCCTGAGGTACCTCTCCGCTTTCCCATATGACATCGAAGAGAGCCTTAAGATGACCAATAAGTTCTTCACTTGCACACTTATAGATTTCCGCTGGAATCGCGTCACAGCCAGCCAATTTGTTGTTTTTAAGTTGTTTTATGGAGGCCTTTATTTCCTGTTCCGTTATTGGGATATCTAATACATCGATGCTGTTATACTGAGGTATTATGTTTAGTGCTTGCATATTGGGGATGTTGTCTTGGTTAAGGATATGGCTGTAATGCTCTTTCCAGCGATTTCTGATTTGCTCTTCCTCTTTTAGAAGTTCACCGTTTTGTGCCTTGATTGGGCAGCTTACGTTCTTAGTTGGGCCGTATACTTTTTTTTGCAGCCTCGAAGAATTTACGATAGTCGTGATGCACGGCGTACTCTTGAATCTGATTTGCTTTTTGTGACCACCAGTTATCCTTTAGCTGGCGCAGGCTTCTTCGAAACGTGTTGTTGGCTGCTTTAAAGTTGTCCGCCAGCCTTGGATTGTGTGGATTTGCAGTGACTGCTTGATGTGCTCTATGCTTTTGTTCCAACAAAGTCTGTATATGTGGTTGATTTTCGTTAAACCAGTCTGGTTGTTTTTTTTTGTTGGACTTGCCCAGTACTTCTTCGCTGGTATTATAAATCACATCCCTCAATTGTGTCCAGCCTTGTTCAGCTTCCGAGATTGAGGTTATCGGTGGAAGTGATTCTCTGATGGCTTCCCGGAGGGCGTTGGCGGTGTCGTTGTTCGTTAGACTCCGTACGTTTAATCTGGTCATATTGTTTTGCTTTTTGCAGTGTGGATGTTTGGGTTTTAATTGAAGTGTCATTTTCGAAACTACAAGTCGGTGGTCAGTACCACATTCGGCATCTATTCTGGCTTTTGTAAGTCTGACATCTTTCAGATGCTTCCTTCGAACGATGACGTGGTCCAATTGATGCCAGTGGCCTGATCTGGGATGTTTCCAGGTACCTTTAAACTTATCTTTCAGCTTGAACCATGTATGGGTGATGCAAAGATTGTACTCTGTGCATGTTGTTAGCAAACGGTCACCATTGCTATTTACATTTCCCATTTCATGTTTTCCCAATACGTCTGGCCATATTTCTTGCTGATTGCCGACGCGGGCATTAAAGTCACCTAGCAAGATGATTCGCTCCTGCTTTGGAATTCGTTGGAGAGCATTTTGTAGATCTTGGTAAAATTTATCCTTATCCTCAACCTTAGCGTCTAGGGTGGGAGCATAGGCACTAATGATATTAACGTAAGTTTTATCTGATATGGGGTACCTTAGGGTCATGAGACGTTCGGAGACTCCAATAGGCACTTCTGTTAAACTGGTGGCGATTTCGTTTTTGACTGCAATACCTACGCCATGAATTCTACTGTGTGTGGCAGGGTGACCCTTCCAAAAGAAGGTGTAATGCTCCTCAGTCAGACTACCTTCATCTGCAAAGCGGGTTTCGCTAAGAGCGGCAACATCTATAGTTAGCCGGTGGAGTTCCTGTGAGACCAGAGCAGTTCTTCTTTCTGGTCGATTAGAGTTTGTCCTGTCCAGGAGAGTGCGGACGTTCCACGCCGCAAACGTGAAACATTGACGCTGCTCAATTCTCCGATGATACGCTCGAGTAGGCACCCCCTCCCGGAGATCCGATCGAGGGGGTATTTTACCTCCGGACGATGATTTTGTCCCACTCGTATGTTCCATCTTTGATGAGTGTTAGCTGCGTAAAAGGGTTCAACTGTGACGGTTACGCTGCCGCACAGTTTGGCTGCAACTGTAGCACGGGATGGCTATGGCACAGTGAGGACTGAGACGATAGTTCCCTTGTGCTACGTTCTCGGCCGGGTAGGAGTAGTCTACTTCTCCTCTTCCTCAGAAAGATGGTAGGTCCGAGGGTTGTATAGCGTTATACCGCCTACACTCGGACGTCAGAGCCTCGTTTGTGTAAACAGGGTGCACCACGTGAAGGTGGGGTTGACTTTTGGGTAAGCTAGGCTATATGTATCGCTTCAATACCCCTTACACCCCGGTTAGTAAACATTAAATTGAACACATCCTACAAAATTAATAGTGAATCGCTATTAATAACTCTTTGTTTCAAGGCTCAGATAAATATTATGTTTATTTTTTTATGCAAAATAGGTCGAATCTGACAACGAGGAGGCAACTGAACAATCTAAGAAAGAACCAGAAGAGAATTTAGAACCACTTTCCTCCATAGATATAAGATTAAAGGAACAATTTAACTTAGACGATCCAGAACCACCGAAAAAGAAGAAACGACTAGGATTGTGCGAGGAAATTATAATTAGCGTAAGAATTTAATAAAAAATTATTGTAGAAATTATAAAACACAACCTTCATTTCAGCCTAGAACAGAGGAAGACCGCCTGCAATTCAAAGAGGACATTAAACGTTACAAAGCAACCAAGGAGAAGCTGAAACGTCAGAAAGAACAGATGGCCCACCAGGTAAAGAAGAAGGTGAAGTTGATTATAGACGACGAACCGAAGAAATCGAAAGAGAAGAAGTACGCGAAGTCGTCAGCGAAGTCGCGCATCAGGGAAATGAAGGATTGGAATAACGAAAGTGCGAAAAAAATCAAGGAAATATTTAGATCTAGTATGGCCACTACGGTGGTGAGCGTGCTGAACGCTTACAGGAAGCCGGACTGTAAAGAGGGGCGGATCGTTAACACTGAAGATTTCAAGCATCTCGCAAGAAAGGTAAATTTAATCACTTTTTAGAAGCTTTAAAACAAAAATAAAGCGCTGTCTACACCGTAACATTTTACCTGTCTGTTTTGCATGTCTTCCTCACTCTTTGCATGTCATGTTAATACGGAAAACCATCTAGTAGTGATGTTGATTTTCGTTACTTTTGATTACTTGTTACTAATCGTTACTCGAGTACTAAGTAATCATTTCAAATATTCGTTACTTTGATTACTACGATTACTTTTTACAGATTTTGGTATTGCTGTCAATTTTGTCAACTGCTGTCAACCTTTGTGTCTAATTTCACCTGCTTAAGGGACATATTTTGAAAAATAGATTCTTAGTACCCACGTTTTTCATTTAATAGACCTCTGTGTGTTAATTTAATACTTCTAGAACCATTACAATTTTTTGTACAAATATCCAAAAGTTCGCTTGTACAAAATTTCACCCTCTTAGGGGATGAATTTAAAAAAACGTTTCTGGGCATTTACTTTCATCACTTAAGGGCACCAATATTCAATGCAAATTTTCATACATATACATAAAAAAGATTTTTTCTGAACATTCACCTCTCATCTCACACCCTTGAAAGGCGAATTTCTAAAAATTGCTCTTTAGTGCTCAATTACGTTACCTAAGGGACATCTACGCAAAATTTCATACTTCTAAAACCCATTTTAACAAATTTTTGAGACAACTTTCACCCTCTTAGGAGGTGAATTTTCAAAAAATCGCCTCTAAGTACTCACTTTCGCCACTTAAGAAACCTCTATACAAAATATACCCCTAGGACTAATTTTAAAAAAATATAAACAAAATTTCACCACCAGTTTTACCCCCTTATGTTGTGAATTTCCAGAAATCGCTCATCAGTGCTTAATTATGTCACCCAAGAAACCTCTGTACAAACTTTCACCCCTAACTTTACCCTCGTAGGGGATAAATTTCCAAAAATCGAGTATCCACTTTCGTCACTTAAGAATCTCTGCGCAAAATTTTATATACCTACAACAAATTTCTACAAACTTCCACCCCTAGTTTCGGTAATTCACCCCCTTAAAGGTTGAATTTTCAAAAATCGCTTCTTAGTGTTTAATTACGCCACTTAAGAGACCTCTGTGCAAAATTTCGTACTCCTAGAACAGATTTTAACAACTTTTTATGCAACCTTCTATCCCTAATTTCAACCCCTTAGCGGTCGAATTTCCAAAAATCCCTTCTTAGTGCTCATTTACATCACTTTAGGAACACGTTTGCAAAATTTCGTGTTTCTATGTCAAGCAGTTTTGGCTCTGCATTATAGGATAGATTTAAAAACTTTTATTCCTGCAGTATTAACCCCCTAATTTCGTTCCCTCAGAGGGCAATTTTTGTAAAATCAAGAGGAAGGCAAATGCATGCTTCATTTAGAAATATGTAATCATTTTTTTCAAATATGCGGTAATTGTTTTGAGCAGTGTAGATCCTAAAAGACTTTTATTGAATCAGTTGCGCGAAAAACACTTAGAGCGTTCAAAAAAATTAACTGTTTAATCCAAAAAATACTGAAGGATTTAAAAACATTTTCTAATTTTAGTTGACACATTTTGTGATGCTGAAGGAGATAAAGCATATAGATAAGATTGAAGACCTGGAATGCACGGACAATGTAAAGACAAAAGCAAGAGAATATATCAGAAAATATATGAGTAAGTTTGGAGAATTTTATCAGAAACGACAAGATGAACCCGACTTTAAGGATTGACCAGTCATCTAAAACTGTGATAATGGAGAAAAATGATTGGGAAAAAACTTTTTATTGTTAACTTTTTAATATTTATTTTGTCAATTGTATTTTTGGGTGGATGAAAAGTGGATTAAACATAAATATTACTTTGTTATTCTTTATTAAAAACATTGTTATAACATTGTTTTAAGTCATTATAGTCCAATGTTTGATATATTTGGAGGGTTTTATTTAATTATTGTTATGATTTCATACCATACGTTTTTTAATTTTACGAAAATATTTGTAAATTTTTATTTATATTGTATTCTTGTAAATGCTCTGAAAACTGTAGGTATGTAAAATTTTCGAAAAAAAAATTATGTAACAAATTATAAAAAAAATAATAATTTGTGACTTTATATAGAAAACGGAAAAGTGTGGTAAATGTTTCTTGAACTTTTTTTTGACCTTTTTTTGTACTGTTTAATTGAATAATTTAATAAAGTTTTTTTTGTAAGTACTTATTTTACTTTTATTTTCCCAAACTTTTTAACCATTTTATGGTTATAAAGTTGACAAACGATTTTTGAAAAAAGATTTTTAGTCATTTAAATTCTCCATAATACAGGGTGTTCCATAAAGTTTGCAACAAATGAGAAAACACAATAATTTTCAATAATATGTCACCTTACCGTACTTCTTGCATTAGTGAACAGCAGTGCGATTTTGTAAACATATTTCCTGTCTACTGACTCATCAATCGTATACAAATAACATAGGCTAGGTAAGCAATTTCTTGCTATGGAGAGCGTCCGCGACTTCGAGCAAGTACCATGAGTTTATATGAACGATTTCACATTGGTCGCGTATGCTCCGTCCGGATGAGCTATATTGAAAACACATCCGCACGTACGGTCCGCTCCATCTAAAAGCGCTGTTACAGAATCCCACTGCAGAATTTTTGTAATCTGCCATGACAGTTATCGCATGACATGTCAAGATATCCTCTTTTTGTTTTTTGACATGCCGAACAAATTCTGTTTTTTATCAATAAAAAAACCTTCCCATTTGTTGCAAGCATTTGGCACACCCTGTATATGCTGTATCTGACAAAAATTCAAAATATCAATCCACTTGACTCTCTTAACATTTTTAGCAGTTAAAAAACATCATCACATAAAAACTAAATATACAGTAAAACATTGTATACGTCAAAAATAAGTAGAAAATAGTAAAATTCAATAAGTTATGAAACGACTAGGCAAGATTCTCTTAAGTATTTATGGCACTTCCTCCTGTCAAAAATAAATTTAGTGTCATGGTGCCCATTTAACTGTTTTTGTATTCTTCACTGTACCTAACAGAGCAGTTTCGAAACTTTGCAACAATTTATTTATTCTAGCGTATAAAAGATTTATATGGTTCTCATTGTCTGATGGCCTGAGATTTGATAATAGTTTATATATTTCATTCATGGTTGTCGTAATTTCGGCCTTGGTTAGTTTTTTTTCTATATCAACTATCTCAATCCATTTCAAATTATCTAAAAATGATGTACTGTTCTCTAAGTCTATTCTAGATATATTTTTGAGACACAAACTCGTTTGGCGTTTTTGAATTAAATCTCTTATTGTAATATCTTCCCCTGTAAAAGTCCAAACGTATCCTTTTTCAGCACACCAATTTTTAATAATTTCTAACGAGTCATTTTCACAAATATTCTCTTTGTCACCAGTTAAAATTTGTTCAAGCTCTTCTAAAAAGTTTGTCCTGAATGGGGATAATGAAATCTCATCATTAACACTATTTAGAATTCTCACTTTCGATTCTAACTCAGCTTTATGTTTCTCTGCCTCGGCTAGCTCTTTCATTTGCATCTTCCTTGTTTCCATAAACCTTTCTTCCCACATTTTCTGAGCCTCATTTAATTTAGTCTCTGTTTGAGCCAGTTTACTTTTAACATCATCTAACTCTTGACTGTTACTCTCATTAAAACTGGAAGAACGTGAGACAGAATGCCTTTCGTAATTTTGCCTTAATGCCTTGAGTCTTTCCACCTCTGATCTTAATTCTCTTATCATACGGTCATGGGGGCTTTCATTTATTCTTGCTCTGTTTACTATTGATCTTGCCTGGCATGCATAGCGTAGAGTTGCTAGTGTCTCATCTAAATGTGTACTTGCAGGAGAAATAGTAGCCAACATTGACGTTAAGGAATTTCCACCTAAACTTTCCTAAAAAATATGTAACAGTGAGAAATAAATATTCTAATTATTAAATTACACTTACACGCAGTAACCAAGTTAATACAGATTCTCTGTAAGGCACAAATTGCCCTTTCCTTTGATCTGATAATGCAGAAATGCATTTTCCTAATGTCAACAAAGATTTATTTATATAAACACCTTGTTTCATTTTTTCTTCATTATTGAATGATGATCCTAGTCTTTCACTGCCTGCTAAATCTACTAAACTAACTTTACTTCTTCTGCTATTGTCTGTATCGTCCAATCCTTTACACTGGCCAAGTTCTATACAAAAAATGCTATGAGATCTTGAAGAAAAATCATTCATTGAGGTAGCAGCAGTTGCTCGATTCTTATTCCCTTTATACAAATAGTTACGCAATTCCTCGTATGATTTTACAGTGTGAGTAGTTAGATCTACAATGTATGGGCCCAAAACTGGATGTTCTCTGACTTTTAAAGGAACACGAGAGGAATTTTCTTCAGAAAGCAAGTCGTGAATTTTTTCATTATATATTTCAAAATAACTTACTTCAACATTTACGACACAATCTTTATCGATTTCGGACACTCGTTTAAATAGTTCTCTACAAAATCTAGGTGTGATACCAGAGTATTCTTCTGAATTAATATCACCCATCATGCTGTAACTTTTTCCTGAGCCGGTTTGTCCATATGCAAAAAGACATGCATTAAATCCACGAAATGCGCTGTTTAAAAGAGGTACGCCAATTGTCAAAAATACATCTTCCTGTGAACTATACAGTGAATCCTTTTCATGAATTGACCAAAAAACATGATCATATTGAAAAATATGGTCCGTGGTAATGCCGTGATAATTTTTGGGTGCACAAATAACTAAGTCGTTATTTTTAATTCTAACGACATCTTCAACGTCCGTTGTTGCTAATTCAGTTGAATTCATCGGTCTAATTCTTACAGCAACTCTTAGGTTTGATACTTCATCGCATTTATCTTTACTAGTTTTAGCTTTGACTTTAGGGGTTTCCAGTAATACTTTAGTGAAACACTCAGGAGTTTCTACAGACACTTGAAGTCTTTTCACTGATTTTGGAGTTGAATATTCATTCTGTGATGAAGAGTTTACTATCGCACGTCTTCTAGGTGTATAACTTTTCTGATACGCATCTGAGTTAGGCATGATTGGTTTCAGTATTCTAATATCTTGTCATACTATTTTATACTTTTAATAATTAAATACATATATTTTAAAACAAATAAACGCCAGAATTCAAACTTCAAACATTTAAACCGTTTGTCAGTTAAAATCTCAAGTTTTCAGTGTCACCAACTGTCTTTCTGAAATTTATAACTAAATATTTATATGATGCAGTATCAGCAACCTAAAAAAAAATAAAGTATATGTAGATTATATATGATGATTTTATATGATGCAGTGTTGTCAATCAAAAAAAAATAGTAGATTTAAACTACATATGACTATTTTTATATATGATTCAAGGCTCCCAAAACAAAGAAAATACAATATCAAAAATGATATATGCTTATTATGGCTAAGTTATTTATCTTCTATGGTCTTACTTCGCATTTTGCATAGATAAAAAATATTAATGATGACAAGATGATGACGGATCATAGAAAATTAAAAATAATGGTGGGTTCATACAGCCAAATAAAATAAAATAAGAATAAAATAAAATAAGAAATAAGGAATTGTTATTTGTGCGCGTTCATACAGTCAAATAAAATAAAATAAGAAATATATATTTGCTCATGCGCTGTATGATGAAGCTGGATAAAAGTTAACTTTTACGATTGTTTATAGTAATTTTACTATTTATAGTATATTTATTTATTCGTTGCCTACTATATTATAAATTTTACTTATGTGAAATTATAAAATAAATTAAATCCAAACTGAAAATATTTGTAGGTTAGAATTAAGCTTGCGCAAAGCCGTTTTCACATAAAATAAAACAAGAAGTTAAAAGATAAAAGACTTCTTATTTTATTTGGCTGTATGAACGCATGTACGGTATCCCATATAACCAACTTTCTTATTTTATTTTATTTTATTCTTATTTTATTTTATTTGGTTGTATGAACCCACCATATGATTTCAAAAAAATTCAAACACTTGACAGTAAAATATTGAAGAGTCAGAATATCTATGCAGAATATAGTCGATCATTTTTACACATGTCTAGATCCTAGATCTCTAAATACATATTATACAGGGTGGGCCACTTATTTAATTACTAGCAATAAATACTAAACCAGAGAGAAGATCTATTCTTTGACTAAACAGTCGAGAGAGAAACGTATTTAGAAAAGTTTCTTAATAAGGTCAAAAATGATGTTTTTAGTTTACCAGTTCTTGATATAAATATATCTACATTCTTACACCATTTTTTAAAGACTTTTGTTCATTAAATTAAAAACAAAAAAAGTAACAAATACACTTTCATTGGTAAATAAATAAATATATTTTGAAATAACTTATAATGACTGAAAATGATAAAATGTAAATGGTTTAAAAAATAAATATATACATTTATATTTATATCACCTGTGTTAAAAACTAAAACGTTTTTAACAAACTATCGCAATAACAGTACAATTTCAAATGGAAATCCGTCATACAACTGCTTTGTTTTCCATATAAATTTAAGCGACTCACGGTGCCTGTGACAGCTGTAAAAACATTGTTTTTCACTCTCACAGTGGCCTGAAATATTAAATAAAAGGAATTAAAGAAACAAATAACATTCCATGTATTTATCACCTTCGGTTAAACTTAAGATCTTACCTCAAAAACACCTTCTCCAGGCGTTGTCCTTATCGTAACCGTGTAATCCTTCAAATCGTTTCCCTTTTCTATCTCTTTTTCGGTATGGTACAATAATCTGGCGTTGAGTATGTCGTCCAACGTCAATTTAACGCACTGCGCATAACCGCGCAGCTGGTCGTTCATGTAGCCGACAGCGAACTGCGCAGCCTCGATCACGCTGGCGTCGCTGACGTTCACGTCGACGCTCTGTTGACAGGTGCACCAGTGGGCGCTAATTTCGGCACTTTCGCACGTTCGATTGGCGGGAACTTCATCGAAAAGACTGTAGCTGAAATAAATTATAATATTGTGAACGATAGATATAACGAAATGCCTAGCAACATCTCTCGACAATTCTATAATTTCGAGATTTCTATAATCGATGACGATGAAGAGGATCGAGAGATGCCGCTTTAATAACGTCATAGATTCTTTTATAAAATAGAAATATGGGGTGCGTTCCGTATATACAGGGTGAGTTAAATAAGTGCAAATATTTTCAGGGCTGGTAGTTCTCGATAAAAGAAACATATTTTCTCTTTACCGTTTTTCAAATAAATTCAAAATAACTGAGTTATTTTACTTTAAAAATTTCCAAAAAAGTGATTTTTTGTTAAAATGAAGCCTTGAAATTATTTAAATACTTATTTTCACAAACGACCTTGGCGTGGAGTCTAGCGATTTGGCGCTCACAGAATTTCTACTGGTCATGGGTATTACCCGTCCCTCTCTTTCCTTGTCAAAGGGATGTTCTTTCTTGTAAATTTAATCTACTACCCATGTTGCCATATTGTCAACAAACTATGTTTTTTAAATAAAAAAATTGAAATTTTCAAAATTCTTTTTTCGCGAAAAAAACTCATTTCGGCGTATTTCTGGGGTCGAAATATACTACCACTAAAAATATTTGCACTTATTTAAGACTCACCCTGTATAACTAATTTATTAAATTCTATCACATACCTTCTACTACTATAATCCACTGTTACTTTCTCTTTTCCCAAACTCTCGACATGCAAAAAACTTTTAAGCGTTTCGTGCAAATCGAACGGTGTAGTCAACCGTCTGGAATTTCTCTTCAAATTAGCAAACGATTTGGGGTACTCTGTTCTGATCCAATCAGGTACCACTATGTACACGAAAGGCAGTCGTTCTTCCAGTTGTCCTTGGTAGGTTTGTCTTATGTCGCCCCATCTGATTCCGTGATCGCTCATGAAGACCACAACTGTATTTTCTATAAGGCCATCGTCTTTTAGTCGTTTGAAAAAATTGTAATAAGTCGAGTCACCTAAAATATAAAGTATAAACTGTTTAAAAATGTTTTAAAAGCATTTTAGTAAAAATACCAAAAAATGAGCATCATATTCAATTAAATTATGATGAAATTAAACTATGTACAGGGTGAATAAGTGATATTAGCAATTTGCATTACATATGTGATTGCATATGAAAATAAAATAAATACATAGTTAAAAATTACCACATAGTTTGGAAACCATTAGAAATATCAAAATAATGGGCTTCATAGTTAATCAAATTGTGATCAAATTATTTGAAGAATCACATTTTAGATAAACTCTTTCATCTGTCAATTATACGAGGAAAAACAAAATGTTGATATTTCGGTAAAAGTTCAAAACACCCCAAATAAATAAACCCTCATAAAAGAAGCGAAACAAAGATGATTCAAATTAGAAAACTTTCACTTTTCTCACCCAGGCGGTATAGAGTATAGAGAATATTGTAGATATATTCCTGATATACTGGTATATCCCTGGTATTATACCGTGTATAATACCAGGTATAATTCCAATGCAGTCGTCGGGAACTTCTTTTGTAAAATAAGGGGGTTTATCTAAATACCCAAGTACATACAGGGTGTCTCCGAAATAAGTGCAAATATTTTAACTGGTAGTATATTTCGACCCTAGACACGCCTATGAGGTTTTTTTGTGAAAAAAAATTGTTGAAAATTTAAAATTTTTCTTGACAATTTCCGAGAAATTTTAAAAAACTTTTTAGTGCCACTTGTTTATTCACCTGGGATTTCTCTACGGTGTATCTAAACCTTGCAGTGTTGCAACCTCCTGTGTTATCCACATTCTACATTATTCTATATTTATTATAAATCGACAGACAAATTTCTACACAAAAAATTAGGAATGTTAAATTTAATCATTTATCAGTGCCCATTACTAATAATTCTAGAAAAAAAGACATTAATTATATTTTGTACTTACCCTTTCAATGAAAACTTAACAAAAACCACCAAATATTAACTAAAACATTACGTTTATGACGTTTACGAAAATCTTTATTATACTGCAAAATAACTTTATTTGGAATAAATTTAATAAAATGATTCATCATATTATTCACAATCAGGTCACAAAAAAGCAATTTCTAAAATGCTTATCGTAATTGAGAATTCAACATATCGAAAACAGCCAGACGAACAATAAATTCATTTTTGTTTTGTTTGTTTCCTTTCACGTTTCTCTGTTTTATTTTTAAAATTTAATACGAATTTGATTGCTTCGAATGTCTTGAATTTGAACTTGTTGCAACTACGGCAACATCGCTTAATATCGTCGCATGACGCAAGCTCGCCGCGGCCAGCGGCTCTCAAAATGTTGCCATTATTTTTTTAAATTTTCAAAGTTATATATCTCGGTTATATTCAATTTATTTTAAAGATGGCAAAGAGAAAATATGTTTCTTTTGACCAGATCTACCACCCCTTAAAATTCTTGCACTTATTTCTGGGACACCCTGTATATACCCAGATTTTATTTATCTATCCGTTGGGTATTTGCCCATCACTGCCTTCTGTATATGAGTATTTTAAAATTTAATACTTCTCTTACCTAATGAGGGATAATTGAGGTAGTCATGGGACAAACTAACAGTCCAGAAAAACGTAAAATGCGGCTGCGAATCAATCGCCATCGTCTGGACTACTTTGCTGACGTAGTCCAACGCTGTCGAGTAAACTTTTCTTCCGCCTAGGCACAGCTCGCAATTAAAATCCTTGTCGTTGCCAATGGCGTTCTCAGTTATCCAGGAGTATGGGCTGTAGTAGTAATCCACAGGCTGTTTTCCGAAGCCTCTCTTCACGAAGTTGAATATGCCCATCCAAGCGCAGTCTTCTCCGAACGTAGTGGCGTATCTGAAATTGTTGGAAAATGGAAATAATCGTAAAATAAAGCATTATTTTATACAGGGTTCAGCAATGGTGCGCCGGGCAACTATAGTTCCTAAAATAAAAAACTGAGCAATTTTGTTTAAGTGCAAACCTAAAGTATGTATTAGGATGTATTTCAGGAAAATAATTTAACCTCTACGGGGTGACTCAACAAAGTGTGAGTGGATCAGGATGATTTTTTTAAAATAGAACACCTGTATATTATTACATTTTTGGCTTAAATAAGTTTTGATAGTTTTATAGATATTAATAAATAAATAGCAAAAAATATTTTTTTCAGCGCTTTTTAAAAAAATATTAAAAATACAAGAACTGTCCTGGAATCAAAAGTATATTAGGTGTTTACTTTCGATGGTCTGTACTTACTTTGCTATAAATATCGTAATCTTACATCATACAGGGTGGTCAAAACTCTACGCCAAATTTTCGAAAATATAAAATAATTTTTCTTCGTTATTTTAAATGGCACACCCTGTATATTATTCTTTTAATAGATGGAGAAATAAAAAATGAAAATTTTCTATGTTTAGAGTATTTCTAACGGCTTCGTAGATACTCGCGGTATTATTTCATATGAATTTGAAAATTTCATTCTAATTTGAAAGGAAGCCAAAAATGCACTAATATACAGGGTGTTTCATTTAGAAAAATTATCACGATCCACTCACTTTTTTGAGCCACCCTGTAAAAGTTAAAATATTTTCCTGAAATACATCCTAGTACATACTTTAGGTTAGCACTTAAACAAAATTTCCAAGTTTTTTATTCTAGGAGCTACAGATGCCCGACGCACTATTGCCGGACCCTGTATATTAGCGTCATCAGCAGATGATTAAAACCAGTGGCGGGTCGTGGTCATTTATAAAGGTGAAGCAAAACAATATCATGCTATATTAGAGAATCGCTGATAAAAAAATAAATAATATACAGGGTGGTCCAAATTATATTCGGGAAACTTCTGCATCATACTCTGGTAAGTAGAAAAATTTATGGTTAATTTAAAAAAAATAAAAAGCTCCCAAATCGAAATAAAAATTAAACTTCCTACGTCCTGCCTCTCAGAAACGAAGTATTTAGGATACAAGTTTATACGAACTTTTTTACTTATTTTTATATGCCGAATATGCTGCCGAAGGGTGGTCGAATACAATTCGGACCACCCTGTGTATAATACTAAAATCTGAAATCCCAATGAGGCAGAATTTATTGAGAAAAATATATGCTTCAGGTTAGGGTGAATGACCGGTTTTGCCTAAATAATGTAAAAAAGCTGAAATGCGCAAAGCAATAGATTAAAAATCCACCATCATTGTGTAGAAAAATAAAAATATTTCAACACTAATGGAAAATTTATATTGATATTGATATTTATAGATTATTTCATAATAGTTTGAATATACCTCCAACTTCCACTTGAGATAGGTATTTTTTTAATCGTGAGAATTGTTTATTTTTATATTGTTAGGTCACTAATCACTTATCTGCCTTTTTCCTCTTAAAATAAATGAACATAAGTATCAACAGATATAAGCCGTGTTTTTCAAACTGTTTAGTTTATTGATTTGTTATGTGGCAAAAAATGTATTTCAAGACTTAAATGCTTTAAAAATCATTCACTTCATGTTTTTATCTGAGCCTCTTAGTTTTGAAAAATACTAAAAGTATTATCTGAATTACTGTTTAGCGTTTAAGTTTTAGAAAAGAATGTTATTTATGTCATTAAAAATGTTAATATTAATTTTATATACCGTACATATAGTATTCCGGAAACTTCGACGGCATATTCTGCAGATAAAAATATGTCAAAAATTTCGTATAAATGTATGTGCGTAATATACAGGGTGTAGAAAGTTTCATTTTTATTTCGATTTTTTCAAAATAACTTCTGAAGTAATGTCAATATTTGGATGAGAGTTGGTGTCTGGAAGTTTTTTTCCATGAGAAATTTGATTTTGATGTCAATATGGCTCCTACTTGTAGAGGGCGCGACCTACATGTGTTTTAACTGTTTTGAAGAGTGATAACTTTTTGTCCGTACCTGTATAAAACTACTGAGTGAAAAAATATACATTTCCGTAACTTTTCACGTAAAAAATGCCTCTTGGTAAAAATCGCTACGAGTAACCGTTCTCAAGATATTTAGGATGGAAATAGTCAATACATGTCATTATTGACAAAAAATAAACATGTTGAAAGTAGATGGTTATTTGACTGAAATGATAAATTTGGGAAATTTTTAATTTTTAAATTAATCATAAATTTTACTGCGAAATAACGTTAAAACAGTTTCTATTGAATGTTTGGTATAAAAACATTTTAAAATTATTATTTTAGTCTAATAACTATTTAGTCAACGCGTTTAATTTATGTCAATGATAACAGGTATTGCTAATTTCGATTCCAAATATCGAGAACCATTACTCGTAGCGATTTTTACCAAGAGACCTTTTTTAAGTAAAAAACGTCGTAAATGTATATTTTTTTACTCTGTAGTTTTATACAGGTACGGACGAAAAGTTATTACTCTTCAAATCATTTAAAAAATATGCAGGTGGCGCCCTCTACAAGTTGGAGTCATATTGACATCAAAATCAAATTTCTCATGTCAAAAATTCCATATATTTTTTGGAACACCCTGTATGATTTTTTAAAATTTCAAAATATGTAAAAAAACAAAATAAATTATGCGTGTCCAAGCGTTTTCCCGAAAGACTAACCGTTTTTTAAATAACAAATATTGTAATATTTGAGGGGCGTTTTCACCCTTTTGGAATTTGAGATTCGAGAAGCCCCTTCTTAGCGGACCTCTACGCCCCACAGTCAATCCGTTTGCCAAAAATCAGCTTTAAATGTCAAGCAGTTTAAGCAGAATCGTGATTACTCAATGGTCATATTTTATGAAACACTAATTTTTTAAAGAGTCTTAAAATATGTAAAACAACAAAATAAATATACCGTCTTTAAGAGTTTTTAAATAGAAAATATTCTAATATTTGAGGGGTGATTTCACCCCCTTAGAATTCGAGTTTCGAAAAATCCCTTCTTATCGAACCTCTACACCCTAAAGTCGATCCGTTTTCCAAAAATCAGCTTTTTACGTCAAGCGCTTTAAGCAGGATCGTGATTAATCAATGACCAGATTTTTCGAAACACCCTGTATACATTTTTAAAAAATCTTAAAATATGTAAAAAAACAAAATAAAATAAACGTGTTTAAGCGATTTTTCAGAAACTTGACCGTTTTTTAAATAAAAAATTTTGTAATATTTGAGGGGTGGTTTCACCCCCTTGGAACTGGAATATAGACAGTATACAGGGTGGTCCGAACTGTATTCCGGAAACTTTGGCAGCATATTCTGCCGATAAAAATAAGTAAAAATGTTCGTATAGATGTATGTCCAAAAATGCTTAGTTTCGGAGATACAGGGTGTAGAAATTTCATTTTTATTTCGATTTTTTCCAAATAATTTCTGCAGTAACGTCAATATTTGGATTAAAATTGGTGTCTGGAAGTTTTTTGACATGAGAAACTTGATTTTGATGTCAATATGACTCCTACTAGTAGAGGGCGCCACCTAAATATTTTTTAACTGGTTTGAAGAGTAATAACTTTTCGTCCGTATCTGTATAAAACTACTGAGTAAAAAAATATACATTTACGACGTTTTCTGCGTAAAAAAGGCTCTTGGTAAAAATCGCTACGAGTAATGGTTTTCGAGATATTTGGAATCGAAATGTTAACTAAATAGTTATTAGACTGAGATCATAAATTTGAAAGGTTTTTGTATCAAAAGTTCAACAAAAACTGTTTTATCATCATTTTTTTTGCAGAAAAAATATGATTAATTTAAAAAAAAAATCCCGAATTTATTATTTCAGTGAAGTAACTATCTACACGTGTTTATTTTTCGTCAATAATGGCATGTATTGACTATTTCCATTCTAAACATCTTGAGAACTGTTGCACGTAGCGATTTTTACAAAGAGATATTTTTTACGTAAAAAATCACAGAGATATATATTTTTTTCCTTGGTAATTTTATACAGGTACAGACAAAAAGTTATTACGCTACAAAACAGTTAAAACACATGTATGTGGCGCCCTCTACCAGTCTACCAGGAGGAGTCATATTGACATCAAATTCAAATTTCTCATGTCAAAAAACTCTCCCAGACACCAATTTTCATCTAAATATTGACGTTATTTCAGAAATTATTTGAAAAAAATCGAAATAAAAATGAAATTTCTACACCCTGTATCTCCGAAACTAAGCATTTTAGGACATACATTTATACGAACTTTTTAATCTATTTTTATCTGCAGAATATGCTGGCGAAGTTTCCGGAATGTAATTCCCCAGGAATCTCCCCACATGCTTTTTGAAACACCCTGTATATTGAATTTGTTCAATTTTTATTATTTGCCACAGCTTATTAAAACAAGAGAAATCTTATAACAAACAATAAAGCAATGATTGATTGATTGATTGATTCATGTTTTCCAGCCTGTCTATATACTTACCCCTTGTCACTAAAATTATTCCACAGAAACGAGCAGTCATCAAATCTAACAGTGTCATTGGGCCAACACGTTTGTTTCAGTTCGTCCACAAAATGTCCACTCAGCACCGGCATCAGATTTACAAACGTGTTGTCAGCAACCTTGTTGTACCCTAGCATTTCAACCGCCCCAAGCTTATTCACCAAATAACCCAGCGTTCTAGGCATCTGCCTGTGGAAATTCACCCTTGATACCGCGTCCAAACCCACTATAAGTATATTGGGTTTGAGTCTATCGGATCTATCTATAGATTCATTTCTTTTCTTTGGCACAAAAGCAAAGTAATCTTCATAGATTTGTTTAGTTTCATAATCACAGGTCACTTTTATGAATTCGTCAATAATATAAGCAGAAAAATCTTCAATATTTGTACAGTTCTCGCTAAATTTCATCTGCTTATCGTTGTCGGATCCTTTTGGGTCTTCCCGCCAAAAACTCTTATAGCAACACGTCAACTCGGTTGAGTTAGAGATGTTGTAATGTTTCAGCGCCGGTTCTACCAAGTAAATTGACGTTAGATTGCTGTCAAACAAAGGGGGTATGTTTTTATTGCACACCATCATGTCTGGTTTTGATACGAATGCTTTAACCGATGCGTCGAAAGGGTTCATTTCAGGAATCTTACAGCCTGAAAATAAAAGTAAAGTGGTATTGAAAAGATATCATGAGCTCTTGCTTGTTTTGTTTATAAGTAACTGCAATTTTTTAATATTTTATCAATACAATAAAGTTTGTTTCTTTTTTTTATTAAAGTCTTTAATTTTGAAGTTACAAAAATAAAATATACAGAAAATGTAACAGGTTAAAAAATAATCAAACCAATTTAAAAAAAGGACTTTTCGTTTACTTGAAATCAGTTTGGTTTGGTATTTTTGTTGATTTAGTATTTTGAAGCCTTTTCGAATAGTATGTCATAAAAAATGAACTGCAAAAATCCATCCTTTTCGAGTTTTTCAACTTTAGAATAGCTGGAACCAGCACTAATCAGTAGTGGGATTCTGTATAAAGCTGAGAACAAACGAGGCGGCTTAAGGCGCCGGCGTCGGCGCATTGTTCCTATGTGTCCTCACCCTAGCTCTGTAGCAAGAAATTTCCTGTCTAGCCTATACTATTTGTATACGATTGATGAGTCACTAGACACGAAATATGTTTACAGAATCGGGTCCCAATAAGGCTACTTTGGTTTACTTGAAATCATTTATGTAAGCAATATTTGTTTGTTTAGTATTTGGAAGCCTTTTTAAATAGTATGTAACAAAAAAAATTCTGCGGAAATGCATAATTTTCAGTTTTTCAACTTTAGAATAGCTGAAACCAGTTACATGAAAACATGTTTCTGTTTTTCATTTTAGAAATATTTCTAAACATAGACACGCGAAAAAACTTCTTGTGGAAATGTACTATTTTCATTATTTGATAAAATATTGTAAAATACAGCATGATTTGAAAACTACTCGGCAATTGGAATTCGTAAACAGACGCGTTTTAACTTACAGCGTGTTTTGATTGCTTGGGTTTGGTTTTTTGGTTCATTTTTGTTTATTTTCGTTTTTTCTCGGTGCGGTATTGATGATCTAAATTACAGTATCTACTAGATTAAGTTCATACCTACACAAAAAAGTATTTAGAATGTAAAACAGGAACACGTTTTCATGTCAAGGATTTCAGTTATTCTGAAGTCGGAAAAAAAGAACTAGTTGGAGAATGGAACTATAGTTTGCAATCAGTCACAAACCTGTTGTTCGCGATCATTTCCCGCGGTCGCAGTTGCATTGTAGTTTTAAAATTGCCCGTATTCAATTTTAAATATTTTAAAAATAGGTGATTAAGAACTGAACAACTCTCCGAAAAATTTGTCGGAGAGGTTGAGAAATAGGAAGAACTCTATAATTATAAACTTTCTGGGGTACTCCAAGAAAGACGTGATAGAGAAAGCATGTATGGATGGACTCAATACTCTATAGTCCTGCGTTGTCTGCCGTATTTATGATAATTACTAGCGTATACCCGCGACTTCGTTCGCGTCGAATTAATCATTTGTAATAGTGATGATAAAGCAAAGCAAAAATTTCCATTAACATACAAACTGGATAAAATTTTCTCACATTTATGTCAGCATGAGAAAAAACAATCGAGAAACCTCTCCTTATCGAACCTCTACACCCCACAGTCAATCCGATTGCCAAAAATGAGCTTTAAACGTCAAGCAGTTTAAGCAGAATCGTGATTACTCAATGGTCATATTTTATGAAACACCCTGTATACATTCTTAAAAAATCTTAAAATATGTAAAAAAACACAATAAAATATACGTGTTTAAGCGTTTTTTCGGAAACTTGACCGTTTTTTAAATAAAAAAATATTCTAATATTTAAGGGGTGGTTTCACCCCCTTGGAACTGGAATTTCGAAAAATCGCTTCATATCGACCCTCTACACCCTAGAATCAACCTGTATGACAAAATTGAGAGATATTTTTTAGCAATCCTAGAGATATTTTTTAACAATCCTGTATTATACATATTATAAAAAAAATAAAATCGTTACCTGGAGTATTAATCAAAAAACCCTTTTGATCGGCATTTAACAACTTCCTAGATAGGTATATATCATCAGCCATCCTGATCGAATCCAGTTCTATATACCGAAGAAGGTACAGAGAACAAGGAAACAAACATATCACGAGAAAAATCAGTACGGTACATCTATTTCTGCATGGATTACCACTAATGTTATCCACGGAACCGTCCAAGAGACCGTACCCTTTGCATCTTTTCTGAACGGAGTTCATTTTAAGAAAAGTGTTGTTTGGATGCTTTCGAGACCACACTCGAATTTTGAAGTGTTTTCAGTATCTTTTATCGTGCCATTTTCTCACGCTTATCTGATTCTCGATGATTTTTTTATTTTATTTTTTATTTAAGGTATTTATATTTGAACAGGAATTGCTATTGAAGATAATTCATAGAATTCAAACGATACTTAAGTAATAAAAAACACTTTGGTGTGTTATTAACTACCCGAATGTACTGACGACTAAGCTCTTGTCATTCAATTTGAAGAGAAGCACTTAAATATCTCTTAGGGCTTTCCATTTTGTAAGTTCTAGCATAGCGAATCTGAGATGTCCTATAGCTGGATGCTCGCTTTGATTCAACTTGTGTCTGAGATCACTCTTTTCTTTTTTTATTTCATTTCTTCTATCAACCTTAATAATATATAGGCGTGTTGCATTTCAGTTGATTTCAAAAAAATCCGACCGCAGCGCTCGATACGGCTGAAATTAGAAGTTTTCGCTCTGTATTTCAGGCAGTTTCGATGTTGATCGCAATGAAATAATATTAAAATCGTGGCTTTGTCATAATATTTAAGCATTTTAGTTTTTAATAGTCAGTTATTGAAACTAAAAACACACATGTACGAGGTTTGTGTTATGTAACGCTGTTTTGGGTAGTAAAAATTAAGTGAAAAAAAACTCGAATTGAGCTTCGCGTTGTGTTGTGACAATTTCAAATGTTAATAAAATTGGCGAAAAATTTTAACGCGTAATAAAGCCGAAATTACATTTACGAGTAAGTCGTATACGAGTAAGCGAATCGTATACGATTTCGCATATGTAAATAGGAACTCGTAATGCGTATCGTATATGTGTTTGTTTCAAAGTTGAGTTAGATCCGATTTCATTACGAGTACCGGTTTTGTTTATTGACAAAAATGGCGGCAAATAAGTTATCGCCGGAGAATATTGATCGATTTATAGATCTTTACCACAATATGAACTGTTTATGGGATGTAAGAAGCAAAGAATATAGAGATCTTAAACACTTCTTGATTGTGAAGAGGCTTTAACCCACACTCGCTTTTTTTTCTAACAATCTGTTGATATTCTATTCTTTTTTTCATTATTAACATTAGAATTCCGGCTATAGCAGCACGCTTTATTATTAGGCGCCATATTTACACACTTTAATGGCATACGATTCTAAATTTAAATGTAAATAAAACTCGTACTCCTATACGAGTACCCGTGTACGGTTTACTCGTAAATGTAACTTAAGTATAAAGGAGGATGTAATTACGTGGTAAATAACCCCCCTCCCCCCATTCAATAACTCAATTTTCCCGGATATTCAACTCTGCCGAAATAACATTTTATAGCTTTACAGCTACTCACATCGATTTGATCAATAGCAAAAATGGATTCAAGCAGTTCGACGAAACAAGTGAGTAACATGTTGTGCACATTACATACCTAGTCAAAAATTAAATAGACATATACTATGAGAGGATAAATATATTTTGTAATATTAATGGTATTCTCTTTTTTTAATCAACTAGTGCTTACATTTTTTATGAAATTTTTCTATACATAATATAATACATAAGTAGTAAGTAGGTTCATAACGTTCTACGACGTTTTCCGACACCTAACCTCCACTCTTCTCTATTTAGCCAGAAGTCATCAGGTATTACCAAAGATATTTGAGTTTAAATATCTTTCGGTATTTTGCTATTTTCCAAGTTCTTTATCCACATCCTCCCTCCAGCTTCATCGTGGCCTTCCTCTTTTATTTCTGCCTCGCGGTGTCCACAGTGAAATTTGTTTTGGTATTCTGTGATCGGGCATTCGTTGCACATGACCAAACCATATCAGTTGTTTTGTTCTTATGTCGTCCACAATTGTGTGTTCTGCTCCCATAATCTCTCTAAATCTATCGTTGGTTATTTTTTTCTTTTCGATTTTCCGGCAGAGCTCCTCCAGTAATCCATTTCGGTCGTTATAGCATGTTCTCCGTTCTGCTTTTCTATTGTCATACATAACCCAACTGCCATACTTTAACACCCTTCCGTAAGTTATTATGCTTTTCACTACGGTATTATATTATGTTTTTCTTGTTAGCTTTAGAAATTTCTTGATCCCACAGTAACCCATTCAACATAGATATTGCCCTCCTGCCTTGCATTATTCGATCTATTATACCCACATCGAGTTTTCCATCGTTAGTTATTTTTAATCCAAGATATTTATGGATTGGATGAATATTTTCTAAAATTATAATTATGTACCTTCAAAAAATTTCGTTATAGCCGAAATAGCCTAAGTTATGTATGTCCCCGCTAGTGAAACCGGTGCGTAAAACTATGCTAGCTACCATAGATGAACTCATCTAAAAAGTTTTATTAGCTTGAAGAATTAATTATAATACAAGTTAGACCGTCTGAAGATATTAAAATATTTACTTTTTTATTTATTTTTTAGAATTTTCACAAATTATACATCCTAAACAGTTTTAGAATAAGTATATAAACTTTTTTTCGGTTGTAAACGAAAGACGGGTGTTGTAAACTGAGACTTGGTCTGACTTAGTTGAAAAAATGATCGAGACTGCTGGCATGAGTCATGTGTACGATTGATTTAAAAAAATTAAAGGCCGTCTATTTTTGAACAGGAATTGCGAAAATATAATTGTTAGAATTGCAACAATAATTTCGATATTTATGCGATTAGAAACAGTTTTTCTTTATTGATGGAAAAATATTTAGCATATGTTTTCGAAATTATTATCAGACGAGACGATGTCACAACGATGTACTTACTACTTGTGATTTTATTAATATTTGTAAAGTC